GAGAAAAACATTTTTTTAGTTGGATTCAGGATTATTACATCCGGTAAAATTGGGGGCCAGGAAGTTATAATTTCGGCCATGTTCATATCCAACCCAGGAAATTCCCCCAAAAGGCCCAGGGAAAGGAGGGGGGAATTTTGGGTTACTTCCCCGCCATGAATGGGGGGGAGGGGGGGGCCAGTTAGATTAAATGGGGGAGACCCAAGGGGGGGGGGGGGGGGGGGTTATATTCCTTATATTATTAGGGGGAAATTTTTATTATTGTTGAGTGGTTTTTTCCCCAGACCGGGGAAAGTGGCCCCTTTCCCCCCCAAACGTAACCCCCCCCGCCTTGGGTTCGGGGCCAAAAAAAAGTGGGAACCTTTTAAATTCACCACTTTTGGCCTTGGATTCTTGTGTTGGGTTGGCAAAACATGAGGTTTTTTTTTTTTTTTTTAAACAGCCTTTTTGGCTTCGTTGTTAATGGGGAATTCCAAGGGGGACAAAGGCCGGCCAATTGGGCCTTTTTGTTTCCCACCGGGGGGGGGGGGGGGGCGGATCGTCAGGATTGCCCAGGAATATGCCGGGATTTGCTTATTTTCTCTTCTTTTTTCTCTTTGCATCCTTGGGTGGTGCGCCATGCTTTTGCGCCAGTTTGCTTGGAGGTGCTTGTCTGCGTCTTCGTCCTCGGCCTTGGGTTTTGGCCTTTGGGCCTTTGTTGTTTTCTTGGAGAGCTGACAAGATGGCCGACAGCCCTCGATCATCACAACGGCCAACGCTTGGCGTTTGGGGAGCAGTGGGAAGCATCAGAAAGTTGCAGTAGGTACGTGTTCGCCAATTGGGTGTTTCTGTCCGGTGGGGGCGATCTGGGACGGGCACTACTCTACAACAACTGTAGTAGATAGAGTAGGGAGCATGGCTGTGTGCAAAGGGTCTGACAAGGAACAAGGACACAGGGAGTAGGTCCATGGCCAGATTACTATGTACAATACTGCGAGGTTAGTCATTGTATGCCCCTCTCCTGTCGCGTGAGCTCTTGCCGCACTGGGTGGGCTGAGTGCGTTGGTGGAGACGCTGAACTTAACCCTTCGTCGCGAATCACTAGGTAGGTGGCTAGCTTCCGCCCGAAAGCGACCGTCTACACACTCTCTACCGGTGACTAGGAAATCTCTTGCAGACCCTTGATGTATAAAGACGGAGGCCCATTATGTTTTTTTGTTGTTTTTTTGCATTTCACATCAATACCTAACTGCCTGGAACTTTTCGTTCGTCCGTTTTTTTCTCGCCGTCCGCTCAGTGTGTTCCGCTCCTCATCCTCCTCCTCCTCCATCTCGGCCACACCTCGACCCTTTGCCACAAGGTTCAAACTCAATTCGCCTTTCCGCAGCCAGCAAGGGCCCCCCGTTCCCGGCCTTATACCTACTAGCTAGTCCTACAAGTAGGAAACATATCATCTCATCTTGACTGGCGGCCATAGATCGGATAGATCGTCACCATCTTACATTGCCATCAGCGCAAATCACTACTCCCATTAGAATCTTCGGCTGCATCGGTGCTGTTTACTCGCTTTGCTTTCGTCATATCACTCAACGCCCCTCGTCCACTAAAAAGCAGTGGCTTCTAAACGTGCTTTCTCCCAGCTCACCGTCTGGTTCCAGCCTGCAACAACCAGAACAACAAAAAAGTCCGACCGTCTGGACGGTCCAACAAAAGTTCAACGTCCTTGCGCCGCTAGACACGGACACCCCCCCAGCCTCAATTAGTGCCACGGAACATTCTAATCCTTCGGCGCAATCGCAAACGACCTAGAAACTATTCTGATAGCGCGTACTACTTCCTGGCCAGCCCATTTCGAATTCGCTCTTTCCAACTGCCACCCTCGACCGTTGTCGTCGCTCGCTGCTTCTCAACATGGCAGCTGCAGCAGGAGAGCCCATTCTCAACTATGGCCCTGCCGCGCCCCATGGGCCCAACACGACTGACCGACGCACAGCTGGGCAAGACTTTGATATCAGACAGGACATGAGCGAGAACGAGGCCAGCGTCTTCCATGCCCTTCTCCATCCCGACGACTTGTACACGCAAAATGGCACCTACTGGGCCGATCTGCCCCTGGGTCAGCGTGTGAAGTTTGTCGCCCATGTGGACAAGCAAGAAGCCCAAGAAGAAGCCAGCTTCTTCTGGGACATGTTCAAAAAGGATCCATTGGCCCCTGTGTCTCACTACTTCCGCACCTGTGTCATTCCCGGTGCTGGTCTGGGTCTTGAAGGCTACGTGTTGTTCTCCATTGGAAATGTACGGCCGCTGCTCCAGGCTTCGTTTCCCATGTGCTGGAAGACGTTTGAGATATGTAATGAGACATGGACGCAAGCCATTGACTACCTTGAAATCTGCGGTATCATTGTTGGTAAGTCAAAGTCACATGAAGATGAAACAAGCAGATGCTAATCATCATCAGGTCAGATCCTCGTCGGTATTCTTGGTGACTGGCTGGGCCGTCGCTATGGTCTTATCCAGGATGCCATCATCATGTTTGTTGGTCTTCTCATGCTGACGGCAGCTTGGGGTGTAACCCAAAATGGCTGGGTCGTCTGCTACGTCTGGGCTCTCTTCTTCTATGGCATCGGAGTAGGAGGCGAGTACCCCATGACGGCTACCGCTGGTATGGAAAACGCAGTTGGATCCGGAAAGGTGTCGACCAAGGACGATCGTCTGCACCGTGGCCGCAAGGTGACCAGTGCCTTTTTGATGCAAGGTTGGGGACAGTTCTTCAACCAAATCATCCTCATCCTTTTGCTACTCATCTTCCACCATGGATCATCTCCACCTTACTCCAAGACTGTGTCTCAGTGGACTTACCGAGTCTCGTTCGCCATCCCCGCAGTCGGCACCCTATGGCTCGTGTATTTCCGTTACTTCAAGATGAGGTCGGCCTCGAAACAGTTGATGATCTCCAAGAAGAAGGCACACGTGACTGGATATGACGTTGCCTCTTTGAAACTCACAGTGTCCTACTTTGGTCCTCGTCTACTCGCCACCGCCGGTACCTGGTTCGCCAACGATGTCTTCTTTTACGGCAACAAGCTCTTCCAGAGTGAGTTCATCGCCGTGCTGACGCCCAACAACACGTCTGTCATGACGGGATGGCTGTACAACCTTGTCAATGTCGGCGTCTCTCTTTGCGGATACTACCTTGCCTCCCTTCTCATTGACAACAAACTTTGTAAGTCTAGTCCATCGAAATTACTCGTATACTCGCCTCCTAACAGACTGCGCAGATGGCCGCAAGTGGATGATGATTGTCGGATTCCTGGCCGATTTCATCCTCTTCATCGTCCCCGCTTTCCACTACGAATTCTTCACCAGCCCCGAGCACATTCACGCCTTCCAGGCCATGTACTTCCTATCCTCCTTCTTCAACCAATTCGGCCCCAACAGCGTCACCTTTCTCGTTGCCGCCGAAGTCTTCCCCACGCCCGTCCGCGCCACGGCCCACGGTTTCGCCGCCGCGGCCGGTAAAGCCGGAGCGCTCCTCGCGTCGGTCCTCTACAACTACATCGACACGCAGACGAAATTCTACTTTGTCCCCTGGTTCGGCCTCGTCGGCGCCCTCCTCACCCTCGTCTTCCTCCCGGACACCACGGGCCTTGATCTCAAGGAGCAAGAGCGCCGCTGGGCCTACATTCGCGCCGGCCGTGAACACGACTACCACGGCATCGCCATCCACCCGAAACATCTCTCAATGTGGGAGCGGCTTCGCGGCCAGCACAAGGGCTACGACGCCGCGCTCGACTATGAACAAAAGGTGCAGGAGATGCGCGCGGACTGGCTCGAGCGTCAGCAACACAAGTTCTCAGAGAAGAATGGGTGGGACGATGTCGAGGCGGATGAGAGTGATGATGTGCATGTGCATAATTACTTTAAGCGGACGACGGCTGGGGGTGCTGGTGCGGGGGATCAGGGCTTGGTGGGTAAGGAGGTGGCGGAGAGCGAGTCTAGTAGGGAGGATGCGATTAGTCGAGAGAAGAAGGCGTAGATTGTTGTTGTGAGGATGATGGTTTTTCGAAGATGAAGTACTTTTCATCGCCTTGTTTTTATTGTGGGAGAGGGGTTTGGATATTTGGATTGTGGGGGAAAAGGGGGGGTTAGCATGACTGTCATCATCATCATCATCAGCAGCAGTAGTAGTAGCATCTTGCATAGCATTCGCATAGGAATAGGGCGTTTTTTTTTCTGGTCTTTTTCTCGTCCTATCTTGTCTTGTCCCAGCTCGGTCATCTTATTCGAGTCTTGCCCTACACATACTCTACTGATACAAGATTAACTCATGCGCTCGGGTAGTTTGAGCATCATGTGATTTGCCACTACCACATCCTGGCTATTTTGATGGCACAAGACAAGTAACGTGATCCCCAAACTAGCCGAGATGACTGGTACAAGAGAGGACTGGTCAGCACCCGATTCATGCCTTCTTGGCGGTTCCCTATTCGGTAAGACGGCAAAGGGCGAGGACGAGGAGCAGTCCCCGCCCCAGCCACCAACAATCAACCCCCATTCCCGCATGTCGTCTAGTCCAGGCAGTCTGGAGTAGTAGTCCAGGCTATTAGTGTGCGAATGCGGTGATCACGACAGCTTTAGCACTTTTCGGCTGTGTTTGAGATGTAGGGTAGGGTAGGCAAGTGTATGCTGTTGTGGTTTCAGCATTGCATTGCATTGCATTGCAGTGCATCGCGTGATAGTAGTGTTGTGTAACGGGGGGCAACGGGGTGAGAGGAGGTGGGCTTGGGGGTTTTTGTGTTGTGTGGGATAGTACTAGTCTATGTGGGATGGATGCGTAGTGTGTTGAATGTTGAGGTTGGATGCACAGAGTGTAGGGTGTGGGGAATCTATGGGGAAGGATCTCTAGAGGGGCGCGGTGTTGGGCGGGAGGAAGGAGTAGTGAGGCGGTGGACTCGGGTGGGAAGCTCGAGGGTTGGGATGCGTGCAGTGCAGTGCAGTACTACGCTTTTGTTGTCCGCCATTTTGGTCATGCAACACCCAACAGGCTGCAGGCATGGGCGCTCGCGCATCGCCGATGGGAGGAAAAGGCCAGCAAGCAGAGAAAGAAAGCAGTTGGGCTAGAGTAGTTTGTTGGGAATCGAGGTGCGGTGCAGCTTGCTAAAGATAGTAAAGTGGGTACCGAGTGGCTCTGTGGGCAACCAAGATAATAATAATAAAAATCGAACAACTTGGCCAGCCATCTTGTCTGTAGCGGTATGTACGCGTGGCTGTTGCTGGAATGTTCGCAGCCATTCGCATTTCTCGCCACCCAGCCAAAGACAGCAACGGGTGCAGAGGCAGGAAAAGGCGATGCTCACCAGCACAGGCCCCTTTTGCCGATCGGCTGGCCGCCTGGGCGATGCTTATGCCCCTGGCGCTAGCGGGAAGGCGCTGCTGGCGGCCGATGAGGCTTTCAAGCGAGCGAGCAGTGGGCTGTCGATAGTAGGGCATGTAGTGGGGACATGTTGCGTGGCACGGCGGGACCAGCTGGGGGGGGGAGTGATATTATAGTAACAGTAGACGATATTTTCTTCCCACGGTTGCATTGCCAGTCGTCATTCACTATCGAGAGTATAGATTGGGATGGCTGGCGTGGCATGGGAATGGCATGTTGTTGGCCCCCCCGCCCCCCCACCAGCCACCAGCCCCCTCGGGGAAAAGGCACAGCGCCCCAGCAACGGGGCTTTTTCCACCGGTACCTGTGATGCAGAGATGCAGTTGGATGGCGCAATCGATTGCAAGGCGTGGGCGTCGTCCATGTGCCACCAAGAGGGCTACCAGTGGAGGATGGTGGGCCCTGGACAAGGAGGGCCGGTCAGTCTACAGTACAGTACAATGGCTACCTAGTAGTAATAGCGGGATGGTATACAGACAGTTGGCATCGAGTACAGCGTAGTACGGTAGTATGGCAGTCCCGGTGTACTTGCTAACCAAATCACAAAGACGGAGAGGCTGTCTAGAATAGCCTCGACGCTTGCTCAAGCCTGACCGGCGGGCGGCGGGCGGGTTGGCCAAGTGTGTTCTTGGAAGCGATGCTTGTCTGCGGCTGCCAATCAGGGCCGTTGTGCCCCGGTCGCTCGTTCCGAAACACGCAAGCCTCTCTCTCTCTCTCTCTCTCTCCTCCCTTCCTTCCTTGGCCTGGCCTGGCTTGGGTAGGGAAGGTACGGTACCGCCAAGGCAGGCAACAACGAGAGACAGTGCGTGCCAATCAATAATAAATACAAGCCCACCCTCCCACTTTTGCATTCCCTTCTTCCCCCTTCCTTTCATCATCCATCAACCGCAGCATCGCCATCCCCACCAGCTTTCAAGAAGATAGATATCCTTTCGCTGTACATCACTCCATTCAGCTCATCTTCTAATACCGCATTCCACTACCAACTACCAACTACCAACTACCACTACCACCAACAACACACAACAAATCACTCAAGATGCGTTTCGCAACCGTCTCCGTTGCCCTCCTTGCTGGCCTCGTCGCCGCTGCTCCTCAGGTTCAGCCAATTTCCCAGATCCCCGACGGTCAAATTCAGGCTCCTCCTGCTGCTCCCCCAGCTACGCCCCCGGCTGAACACTCTCCAACCGTCGTTCCGGGTCCATCGGCTCCTCCAGCGGCTCCCTCAGCATCTGCTCCTCCAGTGTCGCCTCCAGTAGTCCCTGCTCCCCCAGCATCGCCTGCTCCTCCTGCTTCTGGTAAGCTTTGTTCATCAAGCCTTCGAACCATGCCCTGTGCTAACACAAAGACAGCTGGCCCAACTCCCCCTGCCACCCCAGTTGCCCCAGCTCCCACCCCAATTGTGCCCATCGTTCCTGGCGGCAACTCCACGGCCACCATCAGCACCACCCGCGTCGGCCCTTCGTCTGCTGCCTCTTCGGGCGCTGCCTCGTCTGGTGCTGCCTCGTCTGGCTCTGCTGGAAGCGCAACCACCTCGCCTGGTCTCCCCGAGGCTACAGGCGCTGCTGCCGGCAATGCCATCTCGTTCGGTGGACTTGTCGTCGCCATGGCTGCTGCCATCTTCGCATAAGCGAGTTCGCCTGGCCACTCACCGACTTGATTTTACCATTCTCACGCCAGTCACATACACAACCACCCACTGTTCACTGCCTTTTACACATTGACAACGACCGATAATAATACTGCCACCATCATCATCACCTGTATCACACACGATGCAGATCCCATCCCCGTCATCCCTCGAATTATAGCTCCTGGATGAAGGGGACCCATTCTACTTTTCGTTTTCAAGGCGGCAAGAGGGGAAAAAGAGAGTAATACTACTTCGCATCGTACTTTTCACAAGGGGCGGTTTGCTTGGACTATGACGATTACAGACATGTTATGTTAACCCATTAATGCGACCCATGTTTCCAGGATGACATGGATGCCCGCGTATAGATAGTTTCTTGAATGCAACATTACGGCGCCTTTGCCCGGCTGCTCTGACTGATGTGTGCATGTGTGTGTGTGTCGTGGTTTGCAGTCAAGTTCATGTTGACATTGATTTTGACATCTGGACGTATGCACGGCATTCTAGCCTCGAACCCGTACCGTACTTGCCCCCTCACATCTACCCATGCCCCACCCACCCAACCCAAATCAATCTATCCCACCACACGCACCCCCAACCCAAAGCAGGATAACCACACAGAAAGGAAAAGAAGGAAAAAATAATAAAATTGGCCGAGATCTGCATGTCAATGACGCGTTTCGTGCTCGAACTTTTGGTTCACCTGTACACACTTGTGTGGAGGGGAGTAGAATATTCATAGTAGGGCTTGAGGGGTTGGATAGTTTGGCTACTGGGAACTTGTGATTTGATTCGACTTTACCGTATTGTAAGGATGAATACCTAGCTATATAAAGTACGCGTGCATATAAAGCAAGAGGGGTAGATGGGTACATGATTGAATATATACATCTACCTGCACTTGCACTTTCCACACACGTCCCCTCCTCTCCCCTCTCCTCTTCCAAATCTCCATCCCAAACCCCTCCCCCCTCCACCCCTCCCAATCTACCTACCTACCTACCTACCTACCTACTCCCAACAACCTCTGTAAACAACCGGCCCAGAGAATTCAACCCTTCTTCCGCCGTGAAGATGCGCTTTGGGATTTCAAACTCGATTTCCGGTTCCTTCTTTAGGTCGCGGTTGAGTTCGATGTCGAGGAGCTGTGGGGTGGGGGGGGTTTGTGTGGTTAGTTTCTTGGGGGTTGAAGTTGTTGGGTGCATCGAAAGGAAAAGGAAAAGGGAAAAAAGGGGCAAAGGAAGGGAAAAGAAGGAGAAAGAAGAAGAAAGATGTACATACAGCGGTATAAGAATGATCCAAAAAATCCTCGAGATTGTACGACCGCTTGGTAAACTGCTCCGAGATAATCTTAGCCAGCGTGGCGACATTGGGGTGATAATGTGACTGCAGCGCCTCGAGCTCCCACACACTACTCTCAATCGCATTCGTGAGCATGGGATCCGGCTCATCCATATCAAACGGATCGTCCATGCCCTCGTCCTCGAGCTCTTGTTTAAGTTCTGGATCGCGGATTTCGCGGTGCATCATAAAGGTGCAGGCCGGGTGTCGCTTGAACATGTTGTAGATCCAGGGTACGACGACGACGACGCCCGCCGGTGGGCCGTGGAGCGCGAGCCGGGAGAGGCGTTTGATGAAGCTGGCGACCATGGCAGCGGGTAAGTGGGTGGACGACATGAAGGTGTCGAGTAGTCTGAAGAAGCGCGAGCGGTGCTTTGAGTGGAGGAGGCCGTGGTCGAGGAGGGAGTAGAGTTTTAGGTAGAAGGATGGGTAGTCGAGATTCTTCTCCGAGATGAGGTAGTAGAGTCCCGAGAGCGCGAGGAGCGAGGTTGCGCCGCCGACGTTGTAGGAATCCGTTAGGAAATCCATGAGCATTTCGGGCTGTTGGAACCAGGGCGCTATTTGGTAGGAGAAGGTTGTGAGGATGGTTTTTCGTTGCTCCTTGGAGAGACCCGAGCGCATCGTGGCCAGCCATGCTGCTTGGGCTTTTTCCTTGTATACATGTAAAGATGGTATGGGGTTCTTTGCTCTTGACTGAATGTAGAAGCTTTGGATCTCGCCATTGGACTTTGGCACTTGTTCGAGGGTGGAGAGTATGGACATGCTGTTTGCAGCGACGAGTTTCCGAGTGGTCATGTCGAGTTCTGAGTCGAGCATGTTTCTGTCATTGTTAGTGTGTTATACATGCAACCTGTTTGGCCGACTTACTTGATCGTTTGGAAGGTCTGGAAACGAATGTCGTCAAACTGCTTGAAATACTTGTCCACGAATTCATCGCGGTTGAGGTCGTCCAGAGGTAGTGAGAGTAAGATCTGTATCAGCTTGGGTAGCCATCCATTCTTCAACTTGTAATCTTTCTCCGCCTTGGATTCTTCCTTTACCAGCCTCATAACCAAAGTCAGAGCCACTGACTGCTTGGATGGCTGGTTGCTGGTGAGAAAGTCGTCCAATAGAACGTCCATGAACTCGCGATATCTCTCCCTGAGCCATGAAACAACGACTGCCTCTGCTTCTCCCATGCCCTTGGGCTTTGCCATGTCGCCCGTCGCAAGTAGTCGTGAGAAGACGCGACAGAGGGCAACTGCAGCCAATATAGATCCATCATTTGCGGCTTCTGGCTGTCTGGCCAATTGGACAAGGGTTGCAATGTTGTTGTAGTGCTTTCGCGACTCGAGAATTTTGGCTTCAAGCAGCGCGATATCGGTTTGGACGTCGTCGCTATCATCGCTGGATGGTGACTTTCTGCGGCTCTTTGCTTTGGATTCGCGACGCTCTGGTTTGCTGGGGTCCCTTTTCCGTTTGACACCAGCAGCGAGGACAGATTTTGTGCCTGCCATGCTCTTGTTTCGATCGGCCGCAGATCGTGGTGGTGGTGAATACTATTTTCCTTCTCCTTCTTTTTCCGCTCGTGACAAACTTGGCTGCCAGAAAAAGTCGTCAAGAGGCTCCCGGCCGAAATTCGGTTAGTTAGCGGTTCCAACTTGAGGAGAGGGTTGCTTGGCGAGACTGCTGGGACGGACATTTCACGAAAAGCTAGCTGCAACTCCGCCCACGCAACCCCCCAACTCTGCGCCCCCCTCTCATCTGCAGTCATGGCCTCTCGTCTTGCTAGGAGCGCGGTCGGTATGTGCGAGCCCGCCGATGAAATTCTGATGCCATTGACCCCTCCCGTCCCCCCGCTGACCCGCAACCACAGGCGCCGCCCGTGTCCGCCCATCGCTTCCTCTCCGCGCATTCACGCCCTCCATCGCCGCCCAAGCCCGCTACAACTCGAACTTGCCCCAGGAGGACCCCAAGAAAAAGGCCGAGTCTGTCCTGCAAGCCGTGCCCGTGCCTGGAACCAGTCCGCTCACCAAGGCCGCCGTCCTCTCTGCCGGTGCCGGTCTCAGCATTGCGGCCATTAGCAACGAGCTCTACGTCGTCAACGAGGAGTCCATTGTCGCCATCTCGCTGCTGACCATCTTCTGGGCTGTCGCCAAGTATGCCGGGCCCGCCTGGAGCAGCTATGCGAACCAACAGGTTGAGAAGATCTCGGGCATCCTGAACTCGGCCCGCGCCGACCACACCACGGCCGTCAAGCAGCGCATCGAGAGTGTCCAGGACCTCGGTGGCGTCATTGACATCACCAAGACCCTGTTTGAGGTTTCCAAGGTACGGCAAATGTCATTCAAGGAGGAGACGAGGGGCCTATCCGTTAGGCCGGAAAAAGCTGACACCCGCACAGGAGACCGCCAAGCTCGAGGCTCAGGCCTTTGAGCTCGAGCAGAGGACCGCCATTGCCACAGAGGCCAAGGCTGTGCTCGACTCGTGGGTCCGTTACGAGGGCCAGGTCAAGCAGAGGCAACAGCGCGAGCTTGCTGAGTCGATCATCGCCAGGGTCGAGAAGGAGCTTGAGAACCCCAAGACTCTCAAGCAGATTCTCGACCAGAGCGTCGCCGACGTTGAGAGTACGCCATCTTCTGCTGCTTAAGGACGAATAATTTGACGCTAATTTGATGCAGGAATCGTCTCGCAAAAGGCATAAGCGTCCTACAACATTCACAAGTCAAGCCACCCAATGTTATATAAACCTGTGCAATAGTCAAACTCATTCAATATAGAGTACCCAGGCCATGGGAAGTGGCCCAATTCATCTCGTTTTGTTTATACTATCTACAGCCTCGACCCATCTCCTTTTTCTAGTAGTCCACTCATCTTCTCTGCCCACATATTCGCCGCGTCCTCGCTAATCGCATTCGCATCATAGCTCACCCCAAATGAAATGATCCCCTCTGCGCTCGTCGAACTCCCAATCAGAAACTCATTCTCCCTCGCTCTGACCCCCATCTTCACTTGCCTGAAATCCGCCGCAAAATCCCTTTCTCCCAGATCCTCCAAATCGTACTGTCCCCTTCTGAAAAACGCCGCCAACGACCCAACCGAAGAAACACCACATGTGGCCCCATACTCTCCCACCTTTGGTCGCAAATCCCCCTGCGGATTCAACCTCTCCCCAGTCCGCTTCTGCGGTGGTAACTTTGCTTCCACACGCTCAATCTGCGCCACATACCCCATCGCCAACAGTCGTCCTGGCGAATGCTTATCAAGACTAACATCCATCTCCTCCGCCCCACCCTTTCTCACCTTCAATCTCTTCTGGTACACTCTCAACCCCCTATTCGCATGTCGAGCCACCACACCAAACCTGCCCTCGACGGGTAATCGTGAAGGCAGGAAAGGCATCACGATTCCCTCGCTAAACGCCAACATGCAACTATCCGGCTGTGGGGGATCTGCAAAGAAAGCGCGGGGATTGAGGGGAAACGAGGCAGCAAAGGCCGGGCGAAGCTCGTCTGGAATCTCCGGATACCGCGATTCGTGTATTTCCATCATGGCAAGGCCAGCGAGTGCAAAACAGCCAGCGCCAATACTAACATGGGCTTTGCGACAGAGCGCCATCAACCGCTGTGAGGAACCCAAGGAGAGCGATACAGCGACGGTCCCACACCTCATGGGCGGTAAACCCGGCCCCTGATAGCTAAACAAGCCCGCAAACTTCTCGGGCAGCGCCGGCGCCGTATCCAGTCTCCTTTCGCGAAACAAGGGATTTGGAAAGGTTGGAGGGAGGGGCTTGGCCACGTGTCGCAGCACTCTAGTCAGCGCCCAGAACCAGCGTTGGCGGGCGCGGGAGCCGGGGATAGCTGGGTAGAGAGCTTCTTGGGGAGGGGGCAATTTGGGCTGGATCTGGGCCGGGTGGATGAGGGAGGAGAGGGAGGAGAGGATTTGTGGGGTTGGGGTGTTGAGGATGTGGAGGAAGTGGGTGAGCCAGGTGTAGCAGGTTAGGCCGTCGGAGATTTGGTGGGCGAGGATGAGGAGGAGATGAAGGGTTGCTTTTTTTGTTCTTGTTGTTGATTGTGATTGTTTCGAAGTGGGATCATTGTTGGCTTGGGTGGCAGTATCAGTGCCACTGTCGTTGTGCTGCTGAAGTGGCAAAACCAGTAATTTCGCCAGACAAACTCGCGGATCAATAATCCGACATACATTATATGCATGACGATAGACTTCTTCCCCCCCATCCTCCACTTCCACAGCATCACATACATCTTCTACCCACTGCATCCCCTCCTCCTCCGCCTGCCGCACCGCCTCCTCGCGACTCCGTGGCACGGGCACATGGAAGCGCCGTGTCTTGTCTCTGTCTTCGTCGGAAACCCGGCTAGAGAGCAAGACGTGCTCGAGGCGCAGTTGCGTCCAGGCCAGGGCAATGTGGTACCGGATATTAGCAGGCCAGAGCTGGTGTGTGATGGAGAGGGTGAGGAGACACGTCATGTCTGCTCTGCCGCCGTAGTGGGTGCCGTCTATGTCGAAGGAGGTTTCGACGAGGCCGAGGGGGCGGGAGAAGGTTTGTGGTGTTGTGGTGCTGGTGGTGGGATTTTCCTTGTCATGGTCCTTGTTCGGGGTTGTGGGCGAGGATAGGGTCCAGGGGTGTGGGGAGGAGTATTTGGAAAGCCAGTGATTTGGAGGTTGTGGTTGAGTTTGGGGTGGAGACATGGGGGTAGTGAGAGCTGTGGGAGATGGTGTTGACGTATGGGGAAGTGAGCTGCTTGCGGAAATCAAGTTAGGGGACTGGGTTTATTACTTCCTGCTGCACCGGGGGGAAAGAATTGAAAAAGTAGAAGATAGAATATCACGACAGTTGAGTTGTCTTGCTTGAAGAGCACACGGATGGGTAAACAAGTGATGTTGTAGTCGTAAGACACACGGGGCTCCTGGGATCAAGAGAGCGGGACTGGACAGATGAACTAGCTTTCATCAAGTTTAGCCGACATGGCCACTCAGCATGCTTGTGGGGCCAAACCTGCAGGTCGATATCTCGTCGTCTAGTATGGAGTGGGCAACTTTCGTGTCATTACAGAGACAGACAAAACACAAAACGTCAAGACTGCTTCAAAGCAGTCAAGGCTTAGACTTAGACCCGATCAATCCCGTCATCAGCCGCTCATCTATCTGAATATCCTTCGAGTCTCATACGCAGACCGAGTCCTGAGTCTCTCTAAAATACATCCTCCATCTCCTCTTCACCATCCGACTCGCCCTCTCCACCAGGAGCCTGGGGTGCCGCCTGCTCCTGACCACTAGTCCCACGCTGCTGATCAAATATGTCCTGACGCTTCCACGTGCTTGCAAAGGAACCAGACTTGACGAGATGGGCAATGTCTGCAAGGACCTCCTTGAGATACTGTTCTGGCTGCTTTGTGCGCGCCTTGAGCGCCTTCATAGGCCAGTACTGGTACTCGTCGAAGCAAGAGTGTAGGATATCAATGAGATCAGCCCGGGCGACACGAGCAGCCTTGTTGAGCTGCGACTTGGGCTTGCCAATGGGCTTGATGAAATTCTTGAATTTGTCGTTGAGGTGATTTTGGTTCTTGATGTCGGTCACTTCGGTATCCTTTGTGATGATGGTGGTCGTGTAGGAGCCCTGGATGGCCTGCTTGATGCGCTGCGCGCTGAAGTCTTTGAACTCTTTGGTCTCGAGCGGAATCGCATTATACTGGCGCGTTGCATGGCCGACGAGAGCCGTCTGCTTGGGGATAGCCTTCTTGAACTTGCTCCGCTTCTGGATGCGGGCATTGGGGTCTTGCACTCCACCTCTGTTGTTCCTTGCACCTCTATTGTACATGCCATAGCCGGTGCCTCGGAATCCTGGCAGATCCTTCTCTGTAAAGACATAGGTATTCCCCAGGATCGCTTCCGTGACCTTTGCATCTGCATTCTGGGATGGTACCGAGGGGTCGAGTTGGAAGGCAGATGGCAGGTTGGTCTTTGAGCGCCATCGGTCGTTGAGGAACATGCGCATGGGTTTGCTCTTGTCGATGCCGCTGGTGGTTGTGAAGGCGAGTAGCTCGCCGATTTGGATCTGGTCGTCGTCGTTGCCCCCCTCGGCGAGGTCGTCCCACTTGCTGACAGCAGCGTAGAGCCACTCCGGTATGCGGGTGAGCCAAACCTCCTTCTCCACCTCACGCTTAGGAATCGTCATCTCGCCTGTGTCTTCGAAGAACTCATCGTCCATGTAACCGACTTCCGGTTCCGTCTTCACGTCGTGGTCTGTCTTGATGCCGTTCATTGCGGCGGTTCGTGTCGAGTGAGCGAGTATACGGAGGCCCTCTGTGCCCGTGCTGATGTGTTCGAGGGGCTACAGGTTGGGGAGAAAGGAGAGTGTGACGGACGCGTTTGCGTGGAGGAGGTTGGATATTGGAGGTTGGAAGTGGGACAAAGCGGTGTCAGTCGATGCGATCGCTGCGCCTCCTCCTGTAGCGGCGAGTACGGTAGGGACCAAGGACGGGGACGCGACTGCCTTGGAGGGAAGTATCTGGTCGGGGGTAGAGAACCAAAAGGTGATGTGTCTACTATTGTTGTCAAAGAATGTTTGCAAGACAGAGACGGTGGGTGGCCTGGGTTGGTTTAAGTAACAAACGTAACAAACACATGCCCAACTGGTACGCACAATGGACGGCCGGGCACGCCCAGAGTTTCCATTTGGAAGCACAGCGCAGTAGTCGCCTTTATCGATAAGCCGAACCCAGCCGTGGCAGCTTCCGCCGACATCGACCCCACCGTTGTTGACCCCTACCTGGACCACCAAAACATGCCCTCATGGCCCTCCCATCAATCATAACCAAAATCAGTCCTTGATCATTCCAAATTCTCGCATCCACTGGCACAAGGGCTAAAACACGATACTATTCAAAAAGCCCACAGTCTGGTCGAGCTTTCCAGCTTCCAGTCATGGCTTCACCCAAAGTCGTTGCTGCTCTACAGCAAGTGGAAGCAGCCCCAGTCGCCGACAAGCCCGCCCAATACAATGCTCTCCTTCAACAAATCACCACCAGCTCCACCAACATTGCCGCCGACCTCAACGCCTATGCACAAACTCTCCTAGATGACTCGTTGGGAATAGTCGTCTTGCGTCCCCTTCTTGCTTCGTTCGTCGACGCCTTCCGAACGGTTCAAGATGTAGATGCAAAGATTGAGGTTGGGGAGAAAGTCATTACCCTACTGCAGTCCAAGGGCGCAGGACAGTACGAAGAGCAGGATACACAGATCAAACATGTGCTGGCAGATGCTTTCGAGCAAAACGAAGACTATAGGCGGTCGGCGCAAACACTCGCCACCATCAACCTCGAATCAACACAAAAGTCCGTCTCGGCAGATGAAAAGGCAAAAGTCTGGATCCGGATCGTGAGGTGCTACCTGGAAGAGGATGATCCCACGAGCGCCTTCACACACCTCAACAAGATCAAGAACATTCTCTTCAGCGTCCAAGATGACGAAACCAAGCTCATGTTCCAGCTCAGTCAAGCTCGCATCTACGACTCACAACGCGCCTTTCTCGATGCTGCCCAATCATACTATGCCACAAGCAACGTTAGCATTGTCGACGAAGACGAACGCATGAGGATCTTTGGCAGGGCAATAGTGTGCACAGTGCTAGCTCCCGCTGGCCCGCAACGAGGCAAGATGCTGGCGAAGCTATACAAGGACGACCGGGCCAGCCAAGCAGAAGATTTTCCCATATTAGAGAAGATCTTCTTCAATCGCCTCCTGTCGCCTGCAGAGATCAAAGCATTCGCTGCCAAGCTCGAACCTCACCATCTTGCAAAGACCTCCGACGGCTCAACCGTACTCGACAAAGCCATTCTCGAACACAACCTCCTGGGTGCGTCAAAACTGTACAACAACATTGGATTTGATCAGCTTGGTGAGCTACTGGGTATCGACGCGGAAAAAGCAGAGGACTATGCAGCCAAGATGTTGGAACAGGGTCGTCTTGCCGGATATATTGATCAAATCGATCGTCTGATTTTCTTCGAGGGCGAGGCAAGTGGAGAGCGCAAGACTGGCCATGCAGAGCGTGTGGTTGGCAAGGAGCTGAGGAAGTGGGACGCCAATGTGACGAGTCTGGCAGAAGAGGTGGAGAAGGTGACTTCGATGATTCAAAACCAGTACCCTGACTTCTATGCCTCGCAAGTAGTGCACTGAGAGGCACAGGGAGAAGAGTAGGCGCAAGAATAGGATACCCATCTCATAACATGGAGTTCAATAATACCATGACGTACAAACACTATACGCCAGCCTCTTATGCTCGTGACGTCTACCTGTATAATACACTGCGATCCGTATGATCATCATTCCAGCCGTGTCCATGCCACAAACATTTATGCCAACCCAGCCCAATCCACAGCCATACACGCACGCCCACAACATCATTGCCCCTCCAAAGCCTGCTGATACTCCTCCAAACTCTTCACCTCCAGCTCACTAATTTTCAACACAGTAAAGTGCAATTTACTAAACACATGCTTGACATGTCTCTGCCTCCTCTTGGTCTTCTCCTCCACCCTCATCGGCTCACTCTCCACACCCACCACCCGCGCCCGACAGGTATACAACCGCTCATCCAGATAATACACCTTTTTCCCGTGGTCTGCCGTCCCTTTCACCGTCTCCGGCGCTTTGAGCGTGTAGTCTCGACTTCCAATGTGCGTTGCGCGGTTGAGCCGCAGAATGTCGCCGGGCTTGACGTTGGGCATGAGAAAGGGAAGGCGAATGGAGTCGCCTTTTGTGACGAGATAAGGGCGGCCGTGCAAGTGGACGGTGATGTAGTGCGAAGGTTGTGTTTGGAGCAAGGGGAGTAAAGTCCGGATTTGGGGGGTTAGGTGCGTCGACGAGACGATGGAGGTGCGCGTGTGTGGGCTGGGTTTTTGCTTTGGATCCGCAGGCTTGGTGGCGTTGGCGGGGAGGGGTTGTGGTGTTTGGGATCGTGCGCGGGCTTCGGCGGATATGTGTTGGCCAGATTGGATAAGAGGTGAGGGGACATTGTCTGTTTCGAGGTTGTGCGAGACGGTGGTTATGCGGGCACGGAGGGGGAGGAGAAATGTTGGTGGGAGGGTTGAGCGGGATTCGACGAGGGCATTGCGCGCGGTGCGGGCAAGTAGCGCCATTGTGAGGGGGTTGGCAATGGTGGATTGCTTGCTACTGCGCCAACGATTCTCTCGTTCGTGGTGTTGCGGAGTTGAGGATTGAACTTTCGGAGATGCAGGGGTTATGTAAGCGTGTGCGCTAGTCTACTGTGAACTTTAGATTCTGGAGAAGTTTCGCCCGCAGCGGTAGCCGGCCACTCCCCATCCAACAACCTTCAGGACAACGAGAGAAAAGTGGAATCATGCCTCAGAACGAGTATATCGAACGCTGGACGAAGCAGTACGTTTGTCACCCTAATTCGTTCATTCTCCATTGCCATGCTTCAGTTCGGATTCTCATGCATGGAAGCGAACCAACACCATATCTAACCCCTCCACTCTAGGCACGGCAAGCGCTTCGACCACGATGAACGTAAGCGCAAGCGCATTGCCCGAGAGGGACACGATGGTTCCAAGAAGGCGCAAAACTACCGCGGTCTGCGCGCAAAACTCTACGCCGAAAAGCGTCGCAAGGAAAAGATCCAGATGAAGAAGACGATCCGTGCCCACGAAGAACGCAACGTCAAGACATCAGAGCCCGCCGAGCCTTCTACAGAAGCCCTACCACAGTACCTCCTCGACCGCAGCAACGAGAAGAACGCAAAAGCGCTGTCCAGCGCCATCAAGCAGAAGCGCAATGAAAAGGCGGCAAGGTTCAGCGTACCCCTACCCAAGGTCAAGGGTATTTCCGAGGAAGAAATGTTCAGCGTCGTCAAGACAGGCAAAAAGACGGCCAAGAAGAGCTGGAAGCGCATGATTACCAAGCCCACCTTTGTCGGACCAGGCTTCACCCGCCGCCCCGTCAAGTACGAACGCTTCATCCGGCCCATGGGTCTGCGCTACAAAAAGGCAAACGTCACACACCCTGAACTCAGCGTCACCGTGCAACTGCCCATCATCTCCGTCAAGAAGAATCCTCAGAATCCTTTGTACACCCAATTGGGCGTCCTCACAAAGGGAACCATCATCGAGGTCAACGTGTCCGAGTTGGGTCTCGTTACCGCAGGTGGGAAAGTCGTATGGGGTCGTTATGCTCGTAAGTCGAACCACTCCCCTCCCCTGATTTTCCCAGTGTAATGCAACTTGAGCCATCAATGCGTCTAACAGGAAACAGAAATTACAAACAACCCTGAAAACGATGGCTGCTTGAATGCTGTTCTGCTTGTCTAGAAAATAATCCTTTCGGGCAAAGAGAGAATTGCAATGTTGCATTTTCATGGCGTTGAAACGGTATTCAAAAACTTCTTCTCTTTTTTTTTGAGGGCCCTGCAGAGGGAGCGCCTCACGCGCTACGAAAATCAAAGGGGGGGATTCAAGATTCTGCGAGGTAGAGCTGAAGGATCTGGGATCAGCGGATCTGATGATGCAATGCCAAATAATTTGATCCGAGTCTGAGTATAGGTAGATGTGCAACTTAGATCTATGATACCACACCATAAAGCTTTGGGAAATTACACGCAGTTCTGACAGGCCATGAATCACGGTGATGGATCAATAAGTTCTTTCTAGTTGAGACCACCCATGAATTTGTTTTCTATCATCAGTTCTTGGACTGACATCTCAAATTGGCCAAGTCCAACGCACATGTGCATCGAACGGACATGCTCAATGAAGTGAGATGCACACTCCAGCCATCAAACCCCAGAGAACACTAGAGGCCCCATACTTCTTCCGTTTACCACTTCACGCCCTCCCAGATCTCTGCATTTTTGGTCTCTCCCCACCCCTCTACCTTCTTCCCTTGCCGTTCCTTTTCCCTCTTCTTCTCGCTCTTCTCGCTCTTCTCCTTCTTGCCCTTCAGACTCGTCTCCCTACTCTGCATCTCCACCCACTTCTCCGTGAAACCTCTGGCTGCGACTTCCGTGGCTGCCGACACACTTGGCCTCCTCTCCTTCTCTCTCCGTTTCTGCTTCTCCTTCTTCTCACGATCATCTCTTGTATACCCTTTTTCCGCTAACGTTTCCTGCAGCTTGAGCATCTTGTCAATCAGCTCGTCCTGTGGTATATTCTTCAGTTTGTGCTTTGCATCTGCAAGTGCAGAACCACGTGTTGGGAGCGTGAGTGGACCGTGGGGTGGAATGAGGGTTTTGCCAAAGAGGGAGCGGAGGGTAGAGCGGGAACGGTATTTGAACCGGAATACTGCGTACTATGTGTGATGTCATTAGCAAAAGCCCTAGAATGGTAAAGGGATGTCGAGGGTATTGGGCAATTTGAGAATAGTCTAAACAACATTGTGGATAACTTACAGGTTTATCCAAAGTGTCTAGGTACTCTGGTCGACCGACGACATGGCCATACTGTATACCCTTTCCTGCTCGAACTTGGTGCTCTATGCCCTTTTCACTGGCAAATTCCTTGGGAATTTTGAGCAAGGGTTCCTCGGGGGCGATGTATGAGCCATGGTTGTGTTCGGAAATGTGGTGGAGTTTCTTTTCTGGTGGAGGCGGTGGGAACTGCCAGTGTTGCTTGGGACCTATGTCAGATGCGGAGCGAAGCTGTCTGTACTTGGAGAGGGATTTGTTGCTGTGGCGTTGAGATGTCGATGTAGCTTTTTGGATGGCTTTGTCTTGCTTGTCCTGGGCTGGGCCCACTGTAGTCCAAGATATGACTGTCTTTTGCTCTTGAAGTCCCGTTTTCTTGCTATCTTCTGCGTCCAAATGGTCCCAAGAAAACTTCTTCTGCTGAAATGGAAGGAGACTGGCTATTTCTGTTGCTTCCCATCCTGATTTCTTGGTGTTCCAGCTCGCAAGGCTCCCAGATTTGCGTATCTGATCATCCGCGCGTAGATCTGTTCCCCATTCATTGTTTTTGGCATTCGAATCACCGGCCCAGGCACTCTTCTTAGCATATGAGGTACTCTTAGGCTTCTCGGCTGTAGTCTGCCACCCGTGTTCAACCTTTTTATCCGTATCTGTAGTGTCCCAACCATCAGTTCCAATGCTTTCCCAACCGGTCTCTTTTCCTGGTACAGCTTCCCAGAAGTCGTTGGCTTGTTTGCCTCTTGGTTCACCGCTCCATATGGAAGAAACTGCAGACTGGGTTTCGAACGGTTTCGTGTAGCCTTTATGGATTGCAAGATCTGGCACAGTGGGTGCATATGGTGCAGGCGGGAGAGGACTAGGGACAAAGTCCACATTAAGAGGTGCACCATGAAAATCACCTGTATTTATTGATGTCGAGAAGTCCATTGTTTGGGGTGTGACTGTTTTCTGGACAGAAGAGGCGGGTTCGTTGTTGAGCTGTGTCTGCCAATCCTGGATAGCATCCCAATGTTCAGATGGCCTTCTCTTGACATTGCGGGTAGACTTGGATCCGCGCGAACGTGCCTTAGATCGGCTTCGTATCGTGTGAACCTGGCTCTGTGAGTGTGAAGGCTGAATCGTATCATCTGAGCTATCTTCTGCAGCCGAAGATGTAGTTTCATCATGCGTCCAGCCATCTTTGTCCTCGGAAGAGGAAGGAATATCCTCATCCGCCCTGAAGCGCCGAGAGCGCGACTTTGACCGAAGTCTTACGGAAAAGCCATCCTTCGACTGGCTTTGACTTTTTATACGGATTGTGAGAGGAGATACAGCTCGGGAAGTACGGCGGCTCCTGCTGCGAGTGCTGCGAGATCTTGCTTTTCGATCATCCTCTTTCCATCTGCTTGATTCCTTTTTCTCAAAAGTCTCATCCGTATCCCATGACTCCGTTGCCGTGTCTTCGTTTGTGTTCCACCCATCAGCACTCGCTGTTGAGTCCCACGCTGGTCCCGCGTCACTCCATGTAACCTTAGTACCTGCTTTACTCTGGGATGGTCGCTGTACCCAACCCCCTTGCGACAGAGTTCGTGTGGTATTATGCTCCTCAATAGGCAGGTCTGATTGAAATACTTTCTCTGGTTGGATGACGACTTCGTTTGGAGATGTAGGCCATGCTCCTGGGGTCCGACTGGAGACATCTGTGCCGTGTATATTCTGACTTTGCATAGCATTGCTACGCGAGGGAGCCATATCTCGGTGTGATTCCTCAACGCGTTTCTTGACAGCCTTTGTCACGAGCTTGTCAAGCCATTGGGGATCGATTATAGGAACATTGGCTATGGCACCACTGGGAGCATTGTGATAGAACGGTTCTCCAACAGGTGGAAGAGGGCCACTCCCATATTGAACACCAAAGAGCGGTGTTTTGTTTGCTCCATGTGCGCCAGGACCAGAGGTTCCTCCATGTCTCAATTGGGCCTGGGAGCCTTGATGAGAAGGGTGTATTGACGCGTTAAAGGAGCGCTGACTACGATGACTATGAGTGGGCGCATGGCTTTGGACCGTCTCAGCATATGGTGACTGGTAGGCATGGAGCGGAGGTGGTGGACCGGAATGTTTCCTTCTACCACTAGAAAATGGCAGACGATCGTCATAGATCGAGTCGCTGGGAGTCTCCTGGGATGGACCGTCAAAGCCAAACATATGATCTGCAACATCGTTTGCACCATCCATGTTCATCGGTGACACTGTTTTGGCATTGCGCGGGCCCGCACACCTCAGTACCACAACCTCGATACACCCTATGTTAGCGAGTAAATCCGAAGAACACTCATGAGGTGCTTCATCTGCTGATACTGTGGTCAGTCAGTAGATTAGTCTGCCATGATTGGATGTGAGCATACCAATATTGAGTTTCTCGAACTTCCACTCGCGCGCAATCATCGAGCCATCCTTCTGTTTCTCCTCTTTTTGGCGAACTCTGAAGTCGACTAGTGAACGGCTTTTGGAGGATTTTCGCAGTTTGAGGTCTTGCCTGTTGCGGTTGCACTGATATACGCCGTCAATGAACACTACTCGAGTCAGCCAAAATACGGGTACAACATTGATGAAGAAGTGGAACACATGTACGCACCGTACATTGCGATGCCAGGCGCAATGAATTTGTCAGAAGTAAGATGTATCGAGAAAGACTCTGGCTTGCTGGGAACTGGCACGAAAGTTTCCACAAAGGCGTCGCCATAGCTAGTTCCGAATTCCTGCAGCGTTTGTTGGCTGTCTGAAAGCTCGATTGAGCACTGTAAATCCTTGAGGCACGGCATTGTGACAAGCCAAGCTGTCTGTGGTCAACCTAAGGCGCGGTGTCGTTATGAGAGAGTGCAGAATAGGAAGCTGCGTTGTCGCAACAACCGTGCCCCAAGTCTAGCAGGCGGCAGCGGCGGCGATGTGAACCCCAGGTAGTTGAATATCGCTCTACTTAGGAATCTCACTCGCAAGCATGGCGTAATCCCAGTATAAAGAATGTACGTTGAGACTGATTAGTGCAATGGTGAAGTGAAGGGGGTGCTGATATAGGTCATCTCTCTGCGAAATCGGCCGCCCCCCACGCGCATATACTTGCTCTCTTCACAGCATATGACGAGACAATAAACTCGAGCCCACTGAAAATCTCTCGTTACTCGATGGTAAACAGCGATTTAGGAATAGACCGAATATCTTCCAGTTTGTTGCCCACGTTGCACATGTGACAAACGTGCAAGACTGACGTACGAGTACGGCACCGGCATGTTGCAATCCCTCGAAGGATGGATTGGGGAGCAGTGAAATCACATGCAGATACGATGCTATTCAGGTCATGAGGAAGATGATGCTAGAAGGAATCTTTACAAAAATGACGGTAGTCGCCCCAAGGACTTTATGTCGCGCTAGCGTCAAGAGTTGTAGCTTTCTATTTATAGATCGCAGAGCCACGCTTTTGTAATTTCTAGTTTCGCGCGTCATATCAAGGGCTACGGGGGTTTGTGAAAAGTCTGTACTCAGTTCTTGCAACGAGCGTGACTATACTAGGGGTATCTCATCATCCTCCAGGTAGGTACTATACTGACCCGACAAACAAACAAAAAAAAGCTCGCCTTGCACCAGACCTAATATCCAAAAAAATTTACGCTCGGAGCACTCAGATACTCATGTCTGGAGAATGAGAGGATACTTAGGAATCGAGCTTCATCGTCCCACAAAGTGAACATGTCCACCACTGATTCTCCATGAAAGTCCCACATTCTAGACAATTCCAACCAAGTCTCCCTCTCGCAGGCTCGAATGGAGTGGCGCCCTGGCCTCTTAGACCTGACTGTGGTGGGGGCTTCGGCAAGCTGGGCGCAGAGTGGGATGGGCCGAAGCGTTTGTGGCGGGGAATTGGCTGCGGCGGTTGCTCCAGGCCACAGGCTCCGCAAGTAAGAAAGTCGAGCGGATTGTGAAGTGTGCATTGCGGACATGCCCAGCTATTAGAATCCACTGGGACAACGCTGGCTTCTAGAGAAGCTGCTGGCGGTATCGGTGGGAGCTGTCTGTTGCGTATCTGTTCCTCTTCTGCTGATATCAAGCGTGATGGGGCTCTGATGGTATTACGGACAGACCATGATGTCCGGGTTGGATTTGTTACAGGACGCGAGACAGGTCGAGCGGTCGAATTCACCTGTGTATTTTGCACTGGGTAAGGCTGAGAAACTGGTCGGTTGGAGGAAGGAATATTGCCTTGAGGACCTGAGAATGCTGGTGAGGAGCTGCGAGATGGGGGATTGCTGTCGAACTGTAATCCATTCTGGGGATCCCAGCTCAGACCGCCTCCTCCCGTCGGTTTCCCCAGCCTTTGCATCTCTTCTTCGTACATGAGATCTTGGAGGGCGCGTGCAATCGCTGCATCATTCGAATCGTCCTCTTCAGCCCTAGTCCGGAAGCCTTCTTGCTCTTGCTGGTTGACTAGACGCCCTGCTTCTGAACTACCGCTTGCGCATCCTTCGGTGATACTCTTCCTCCTTGATGCAGCATCTGCTATGACTTTGCGCATATCAACACCTCGGATGGTTAGTGCACTGCCCCCCAAGCGGTGCCCACCTGCGCTGGCATTAGTGGCCGCTTTGCGCTTCTCGGCGGCACTCCGAGCCTGGCGTCGCATCTCATCCAACGGTATGCGTCTACCACCGAGTTTCTGACCTTGGATGAGGAAACCTTCACCTGTGTAGCCTTTCATTAACAGTGATTGATGTTCTTCACGGAGCTCATTCCAGAGATTGTTGAAATCGGCATTGTGAGGACCGAATACAATGTGTGAGAGCTCGTGCAACAGAGTATCTGTGACTTGTTCCATTGACAAGAACTGTCTGGAATCATGGTGATATCTCAGTCGGACTAAGATCCTCTCCGTACGATTAATATTGAGACCTAAAGCTTAATTAGTCACCTGTTTCAAGATCGCCGTTGCAAAAATTACCCAGAAGTTGCGGTTCATCAGGTAGAAACTCAGCCAGCGTCCCGACTTTCCAACCTCGTTTTCTCATCATGGGCTTAACCATCGATGCTGCCTTGCGCAGCATGTGTAAGGCTTCTCCATCTCTTGGTAAATGCTTCAAATGCTCGTACGCATCGAAATGCGCATCGATCTCCCTCATGTTGATTGTACAAGAAAACCCAGCCCCACTGATCGTAATGTCTTACTCTAAAGTGTGCGATATTTGAGGGTGGGGTAATGTACCAGGTAAAGTGTCAAGACAGAAGACGTGAAGAAAGGAAAAGGTGACTAGATGCGTCTAATCACATATACCGAACAGACGAGGAGAGCCAGAGAGAAGTGAAACAGCAGATTATTGGAATGAGAGGCGAATGCAAAGGCACTGCCACGTAAGCTATTGGTGCGCGTCTTTGCCAAGTGTTCGTGATGGTAGAGGCGAGGCGTCCTGTGCAAGAACAAAGTGACCCATGCGTTACATTCTGGGAAGACTTGGATGATCGACCTAGGGTCGACTGTACCTAAGTTGGGATCGATAGAGGTGGAGGGGACCCCTTTGCAAAGCAGCAAGCATACAGCTTTGAAGGAAGGACAAGCGACAAGCTTTTCTGCAGTTGTTTGGTGTGAGGCGTGCGGGTGGCGCTAAGGTGGAGGCTCACGTGCGGACGCGGTGCCGTGGCGGGACGATCGTGAGCCAGGTGGTGGAGCAGCTTGACGTATGTGATGCGGGCCTGGCAAAGTCACCCTATGGAGCCGACGTTTTCGATGGCCACGGCTATCTAATCTACCTACCCAAGCCACGACGAACGACGACTCTTATAACAAACGTGCCAGTATGACGAATAACGATCAGCCCTTTTCTGACTGGGTAAGTCTGATCTTCGACCTGGCTTGACTTGCTTTCTAATCGTTTGGTCAGCTGGCAGGGTACACGCAAGACGTGCGCAGCTTCACAGGATCAGTATTCGACGCAACAGATGCACATTTCGCCTCAGTCGCCGGCTATGTAAAAAGACACCTACCCGAGAGTTGGATCCCTCAGCAATCACGACCACCGCCTCCACCACCGCCACCACATGCCTTGTCAAACGCATATATACAGCGCCTTCAAGACTGGGTTTCGCAGCATCGTGCGCTTACTGCGGCCGTTGTTGCTTTCGTAGGAACAGGAGGGCTCTTGCTATGGCGAGAAAAGAAGATATATAACAGGAAGCGAAGAGCGCGGAGAGCCACGAATGGGGCCAGGAAAGAGGTGGTCGTTATTGCTGGTCCGCCGAACTCCCCCATCGTGCGCTCACTATCGCTTGATCTAGAGCGTCGAGGTTTCATCGTATACATCGTCTGCTCGAACATGGACGAGGAGCAGCAAGTGTTGAGCGAGTCAAGGGCCGACGTGAGGCCACTGCATTTGGACATTGTAGACACCATGGGCACACAGGAAGCTGTTGATCGGTTTAGCAACATGCTCACGCGGCCGCACGTCGCCTTCGCCGGCGCCAGTCCTCACACACTCAACCTGAGTGGAGTCGTACTCGTCCCCGACCTGATCTATCCCACTGGACCCGTCGAGACCATCTCGCCCGAGTTTTGGTCGGATGCGCTCAACGCCAAAGTGCTGAACACTATAGCGGTCACACAAGCATTGCTGCCAACCGTATGCTTGTTCAAATCACGTCTGATGATGCTAACGCCAAGCATCATCGCATCACTGAGACCACCATTCCATGGTGTAGAGACGACAGTTATTGGTGCGCTCGAAGGGTTCATCGCTTCGCTGCGAGCGGAGCTGGGAACCCTAGGCATCGACGTGATCCAGTTTCATCTTGGAACCTTTGACTTGTCCAATGTGGGTCCCAAGCATCACCTGCAGACGCGGACGTCGGGAAGCCCCCATGCTTGGCCAGCGACGACGAGAGCCATGTACGGCAATAACTTTGTAAATCAAACCAGAGCCGCACAGAATCGAGGCCTTCTCAATCACAATGGCAGTCCGCTGCGGGAACTGCACAATGCGGTGTTTGATGCACTCACGCACAGACGGCCACGCAAGGTATGGCGGGTAGGTCGCGGTAGTGTCGCATACGACCTCGTGGGCAATTGGCTACCCTCGGGTCTGGTGGGATGGATGATGGGCTTGAAACGCGTCTCCCTGGACATGACTTCTGCGCCGAAGCTGGAAGACAGCGTGCAATCCTGGGAGAAGATTGAAGCAGTCGCTTGATTACCATGGTAGGGTATGTACATGGGACAGAAAGCAAGACTAGATTTTACAATACTGTTACCACGGCAATACATGCCATCCCGAGGACAAGGCTTGTGTCTGCAGAGGCCCATGTTGGACGCGATTGACACAAGGGCATTATACCAGGCGTGTTAAGAACCGCTTCCAGACTCAGACTGCTAGATCTTTACGTTCACCCTGGCTACATCGGGGGTCCGTTTGATACCCTCTTGACAGAAAGGGAATGGTCCTGCATGGAATAGAACACGGAGGCCGCTTGGCAAACAGACTACACAGGCATAGGTATAGGAAATGCGCTATTGAATCTATCGACCATGTACATTGTATGTAATCATGTCATGTTCTGCAGACGCCAGCGATGCGCTTCGGATGAATCCCGCTAGCCTCATCCAGCGCCCCTAAACACCACAATGCGTCTCTGTCAACTTGCTGGTCGGTTGCGCAGATTCCATCCATCTACAGGGCCTTGCTAGTACAAGGGAAAGCCTGGGACCCAGTACAGGATCGATGAGGGAGGGGGTGGGGGCGGGGGCGGGGGGGAGATAAATTCCTTACTTTCGCAGTGTAGAAGCAATGACTTGGGCTTTTGTACTTTCGCAATAGCAGCAGTCGTTGGGACCGTTACAGGCTTTGTAAAGATAGGTACTGTGGTACTTTTTTGAGGACAGTTGGATGCTTCACAAAACATTACCGCTCTCTCATTGTTAGCCTAGATTGCATATGACAATTCGGCCGTGAACACGGCCGACGGCTGAGAGGAGAATCGCAGTGTGATTAGAGACGCGCATCTGACGAAGCGTCGGCGGTACGTGATTGATGATTGATGACGACTGTGGAACACAGTGTTGTTTGAGTGTTTGGAGCCCCCGCATCCTCGGCTCTGACAGAGATCGGTCCGTACTGTAAGTCAAGTACATGTGGTAGGTTCAAGGGAAGGAGAGAGTCAGTCGCTTCATTTAGATTAATATCGCAGTGGTGTACTAGGGGCGAGAGTTGACGTTGGCTGCGCGCACGTCTCTTGGAAAGAGGGCGTTCATTTATTGTGCAGAGGCCGAGGTGGTTCAGAACACTGTGTGTAGGAGGAGATGGTGGATTGAGCCCAGTCGTATGGGTGGGCGGGTTCCAGCACGCCTAGCGGGCCGAGCGGAGTGGTATTTCTTCCTTTAGGTAGATAGCGGTAGGTGTTGTATTTCCATGGGACTATGTATTTCAATCGCGCCACCGTATCCTTCTCTCGGAAAATAGGAAAATAAGCCAAAATGCGTTGGTGGTCAGTGTTTGAAAAGGATTTTGCAGAGCAACGACGACACTAGATTCTCCTACTCAGGGTTACACGTGGTTTTTACTTTGAGTGATGTAGAAGACGTGTGTAGTGTGTTTTGGTAGGATTGTCATACATTGGACCTTTAATCATGACGCACGTTGGCATATGCAATTTGGTGTTGAATCGTTTGTTTTCTTGTGCTCCTGATCGAAGCTTACCTACTGGAATGCGCAAGGCGGTCAGGAAGAAGGAATTAGCTTCCTGGGCAAGCGGTGAGGGCATGTCCAAAGAACGGGAGCAGACCCACATGCTACGGCACTCATCAGAGTAAGAGGGAAAGGCTCTCTGTAGATGACGTCGACAAACAGGATCACAGTACCACACTATCGTCAACGCTCAAAGCAGTCCCCTCTCTGGGACCAGTTCAGACCATCGGCGACGTTTTCTGCATTACTCTAGCTTTGGGCAAGCTCCTGCGGAAGGGGGGATTGGTTCGGTTTGTACCTATGCAATGACCACTTGTCCTCATTCACAAAGCGTGTTGGCAGCGAACAGAAAAGGGGGTGTGTGTACAGCTCCTGTATTGCAACGGATTCGTCGTACCGGGATTGGAGAAGCCATTTTTCAGCTCACGATGAGGAGGGAGGAGGAGGAGAGGGGGAAAAAGAACAATGGTTCGCAGGGGCTGGCTTAGCAGTTTGATGAGCGTCCATGGATGGGGAGGTCTGAGGGTCTTCTACGGCGACCCGCTTTCGCCCCACACAATCTGCAAGGTGCCAAATGAGGTGACGGGCAGCGGGATCCATGCGTTGTGCCACACAAGATTGTACAAGAACCTACAGAGTAAATACGCGGACTTGCCGGCTTGGGAAGTGTGCCGAAATGGGGCGAGCCGCGAAGCCAGTCGAGGCGAACTGTGTGAAATGAGACAAAGCATGGGCAGTGGGTGCGGTCGGTGTGTGTCTGCGACTGAGCAGTTTGCATGCACATCTCTGGTCCTTAGCCAGCACTGCTGCGCAAGGTGTCCATGTGTACATACTGCATGTGCCCTGTAGGTACAGTATGGGTAGCTGTACTCCGTTGAAACATAGTACTCTTAGAGTACAAGTACACTCTTGGTAGTGGATCCGCTGGGTGAGATGATGAGGTGATCGTCGCCCCACTGTTGCTATGTATATGTACAGGTAGCATGTACCCAGCTGTACATTACATGTGCTGTATGTACAGACAGTAGTAGACAGTGGAGTGCTACACGATAGCACATACTACTCGGTGGTATACGATAGATACTATAGTACATCTGGCACTCTACTCACTCACACACACACACACGGGACGGTCGACGGATGGTGCAGACTCCACAGTCCAGTGGGGGGGGGGTTTGGATCAACTTGGAGTCTTGGATGCAGTGATTGTTGCACTGGATGCAGGCCCTGTTCCCCTCGTACCCGCCTCCCGATTCGTCTGTTCTTTGACCCCAGAAACGCTGCCGGTTTGATGGCCCTGTCGGTTGCCAAGCCGTTCAGGAGGTTGCCCCCGTTCGGTTGGGCATGGGCATGCAGGCGATGGCGGCGGCAGAAGGGAGGAGGAGGGCCCATGTTTAGACTTTGACCTGGCCTCGGTAGGCATTAGTACAATGCCTATGAACTAACGAACCAACTAACTACTGTCTGTACTCTAGTCTCTCTCAGAACCATCGCGAGGCCAGCTGCCTGTGTGTCCGTGTCTCTGTCTGTGTCTCTCTCTCTCTCTGTCTTCCAAACTCTCTGCAAGTTCCCCTCTCGGCGCTTGCTGCCGTATCCGCTCCTTCGCTGCTGCTGCTTCTCTCTCTCTCTCTCTCTCTCTCTCTCTCTGTCTCTCTCTCTATCTCTCTCTATCTCTCTTGCTGGCTCTCGACGTTGCCACACCCGCACTCGACACACCCCCCCCCCTCTCCCCGCCTCACCTCGCCTCACCCCCCCTCCGCCGACACACGAACCCTCTGCGCCAGTCCACACAGCCACCCGTCTCCCCGTATTGCTTTGCGGCCCTGCCTCATTCGCCAGCCCGTACTGCACCTCGCCATTCGCCTCCTACGCCCACCACCACTACTACCGCCCACTTCACCTGCGCGCATGACGATCCGCTGTCTCCAATCGACCTGCGCCGACTGCATGTGTGCACGAGACTGAGACACCGTTGCTAGACACCGTCACCCGCCGCCGTTGTTCTTCTCACCACACCCTCCACTACCACCACTACTACCACCGCAACCACCCCAGTATTCATGTCGAACCAGTCCACTCGCCCTGGCGGCCTCGAGTCCCGCTCACAGTCCCATGAGCCGCCCAGCAAACCCGCCTACCCCAGCTTGGGCACCCTGGCCAGCGCCAGCATGAGCAACCTCTCGCTCGCCGACCTCCCCAGTCCCCGCGCGGGCGAAGTACCGCCTGCACTCTCCCCACTCGATGCCCTCGCCCTCCAGGGACGATTGCTAGCAAAGCGCTTCGAGCAGCAGGACAAAGCTGGCCGTCGCCTCAGTCGCCTGGCGCCCCTCACCATCCAAAATGAGTTTGGAAACCGCTCGGGCTACTTCTCCTCGCTGTCGTCGTCTACCGTCAACTCGCCTGACGAGGATCACGGCAGCATCAGCCAGCCACGGCCTGAGCCTTCGCCGCGTCAAGAGGGGCTAGAGAGACACAAGTCCGTCTATCCCCAGATTAGCAGCGACGACTCGCAGTATGCTGCCTCGCTTCCTGCGCGGAGTCCCATGGCTCCAATCGCAGAGAGCAGTCCTGCCACAACGCCTCCACAAAGCTACTTCGACATCCCGAGATCTCACTCTCCAGAATCAGGAGATTTCCACATGGGCTTGCGCGAAGCGACGCCTGTCAGCCCCATGGCGCCTGCACCCACATCGCAACAATTCCTGAGCCCACAACGGAAACCATCTATTGAATCTCAAACTCGATCGCAACCACGGTCCAATCTTCTTCCTCCGCGATCCTCTGGCTCCCTGCACTCCCAGCGCTCGCCGAGACTATCTCCAAGCGTTCGATCAGTTCGTGAGGACAGTTCTGATGAAGTCGAAGACATTTCGCTGAGCGGCTCCTACGACTCCATACAGCAAAATCGCAATCTGACACCCAGTTCTAGCCTATCTAGGGCGCAATCGCCCTTTAGCCCCACCACTGGCTCTTTCGTGCCTCGGTCGCCATCCGTGTCCTCCAACTACTCGGCCAATGGGTCGCAACTTCCTCGTCCCTCCTACAATTTCTCCAGACCGATGAGTAGACAGAGCACAAGGCCGTCCATCGACACCCGACCCTCAATGGATGCACCACAGCGCCAGCACTCTGAAGAGAGTGTATACATGAGACCGTCCTTTGACAGCCAGACCATGCCGCAAGATCAGAACGAGAGCCCAATCACAAACTACTCGAATGAGACGGTTCATACGCCTGTAAGTATGGCCAGCGAAGACTTCCGTCGATCAGGCGACTTTGCCAATAACCCCGCACCTACATACACGTATACAAAATTCAACTTGCCTCGCGGAAGGAAGCTTGATAGGCGCTCAGTCGGCATTGAAGACTTCTTCAAGCGGGAGATTACTTGGGATAACCCATCGCAGAATCAGGAACGACCCCCTTCGCCGGATTCTCCGCCTCGCAACATGCAACAGCCAGCACAGCACCAGAGAACCACTACTCGAGATATGTCCACCGACCGCGGCGCACCCTCCCTCGTCTCCAGTAATAGCACCATTCGCGGGCCCTCAGGTGGTACAGAGATCACTGCACAGCAGCATTGCGACATGGGTATAGAACTCCACGAAAAGGGCGAACTCCTAAAGTCGACCTACCATCTCCGCCTAGCTGCACGAGCAGGTTTGCCAGAAGCCATGTTCTGGTATGGTCTAGCCTGTCGACACGGCTGGGGCATGCGTGAGAACAAGGCCGAGGCATTGCAATGGCTTCGTCGCGCAGTTGATTCGGGTCAGCTCGAGGTCGCGGTCGATGAAGATCAATCCAAGCAAGGCCTGCCAACCGATCTCTTGAAAAAGAAGCAACATCAAGCACAGTATGCCGTAGCCATCTACGAACTTGGCAAGTGCTACGGCAACGGCTGGGGTGCTCCCACAGACAAGCCACTGGCGCTGCGATGCTATGAGATTGCTGGTAACTGGGGCGACGCTGACGCGCTTGTCGAGGCTGGCTACTGCTACGCGGAGGGAGTTGGCTGCAAGAAGGACATGAAGAAGGCTGCCAAGTTCTACCGAGCGGCAGAGGCCAAGGGAGTCAGCATGGTCGGTAACAGTTGGATCTACAAGGACAAGTACATGGATGACAGTCCCCCTGCTGATGCACGATCCGTTCGATCTGGTCGTTCCACCAAGAAAGACACCTCTTCAGAGAAGAAGCCTCGCGACAAGAGCCGCACCCGTACCATCTTCAGCCGCAAGAAGAGCACCTCCAACGCTTGATCACCATTTTCTTCCCATGTGTCCACGACTTTGTCTTTGAGCGCTTGGCGCCGGCGTTTGTGGCTGCGGCTGTCCTGTCTGGTCTTGCATATAGCTTGGAGGACTTGGCTCGTCTTCGGATACGCCCTAGCAGCCACTGCACTTTTGTTCCTCCGCGACATGTCTTTATTTTTTGACATTTTTTTTTGCGTTATATTACGTTTGCATTCTGAGTGTTTACATTACGATATCCCTGCCTGGCGCATGGCTTAGGCACCCATTCCTCCCTCTACTTCTCTGTCCCGAAATTACGGACCTATCCAACCTATATATATACCTTTGGCTGTTCGACAGAGAACACGCTTCCCCCATGAATCTCTCTCTCCGGTTTCCGAAAAAACCCCATCTCTTCTTTGTCACAAAGTTCCTACTCCCTCTCTTTTTCTCTCTTTTTCTCCCTCTCCCTCTCCCTCTATCTACCTCTCTGTTCGACAGGGCATTCCAGTACGTTCGCGGGCCTAGCACTGCGGGCATCAATGAGACGCCAGATGCCCACTTTTTCTCTCTCTGTTTCTTGTTGCGTTTTGTTCATAGTAATGTAATTTTCCAGTCCCTGGTGCACTGGCTTGAGAGTACATGGGGGAAGAAAAGAAAGAGGCACGTGCGCGTGTGTTTGTGTGTTGGGTGTGGGTTTCTGGCTCAACCACTACTACTGTATATTGTTGGAATCGTCTCGTCGTGCCGCGAGTCGAAGAGGCAGGCGCTCGGGATCAGGATAAATCAAAAGAAGAATTTTGTGTATGCCGCACCACTAGCAGTAGAGGCCACAGATTTACATGTACATTGTGAGGATGCAATCGGAGAGGGCACGTTTGCACTTGTTTTAGATGTGAAGTGATTTCATCTTTGCCTTTTCTTTAGATGCAGATTTGTCTTTTGGTGTTGGTGTTTTACTATTATTTCATGACTTCAGTTGAGTACGGTATACACCCCGGCATATCCTCCTCCTTCCCCCGCCATCCACATCACCAGCATCCTGCGTACACAGTACCAGCTTGTATCCCGCATCCGAACCATTCCACGACATCGTCTATTATGTTGATTCCGTCTGTCTTGTCAGGATTGGGATATGCTGATACATGTTGATGACGATGAAAAGTGGGTGGTTTGTGTCAAATGGTAAGCGGTACCGAAGTGAAATGTACAGTGATTTGAGAGCTAGAACTACGTTCTTTTACCGCAGATCGAGTTGACGATTTTCTCAACGGGGATGGGCGTGCTTGTACAGTTAGGATTGACGCGGCATTGGGTCTCTCCCGCAAAAAACAAAAGTACGGTAGGTGTAAGACAAACGACCACATAGTCCTATACGGTTGAAGTTCCAACGTACATACGTAATTCAATTCAACTCAATCACTGCCTCCCCATGATCCTCCTCACAACCGCCACCAACTTATCCTCGGCATCAGCAATCATGCCCTTACTCCTCCACGCCACGAACAGATCCGGCCGCACAAGCACACACCCATCGTCATCCACCTCCCTCCGCCTCGCCCAATCAAAATAAACATCCTCATAGTCCTGGAACCAGCCGATACTATATACACCCACCTCGATCCCCAGCTGCTCGCCTACCCGCCTCGCCGCATCCCTCCACCGGTCGCCGCCGACGCCGGTGAAGAGGGCAAAGCGCCGCTTGCCCGCCAGATCAATCGTCGAAAACTGTTTGCCTGGAACGCGGGTGTTGAGCCAGGCATGTGGGACCCGACTACCAGGGTACGTGGTAATTTCATGATGCAGCACTGGATCACTGGGGAGTGGGGGCCGCGGGCCTTCGTCATCCAAGTACACGGCGTCGGAAACATAACGCTGATTCATTTCCACGCCCACGCCGTGGAACTCCCTTTCTGTGCCTTGAATCGCCTCGCGAAGTGCGGCCCGTCGCTTTGCGCCACCGGGTGTTGGGGTGCGCAGTTCGGCAAAGGCGGCGATGCGGTCGGGTTTTGTGGCGCAGAGCAGGCCCAGGGCGTCCCAGATGGCGGTGTGGTCGCGGAAACCCTGGTTTGCGCGGGCGACGATGGTGGCACCGACGGGTTGGCGCTCTGGGGAGAAGGAAGAGAGGAGGGACGGGGAGGCGAGGCCTTTGACGACGGCGGCGATTTTCCACGACAGGTTGAAGGCGTCTTGGATGCAGGTGTTTGAGCCGAGACCGTTGAAGGGCGGGTGTCGGTGGACGGCGTCGCCGAGGCAGAAGATGTTGTCCTTGGAGTAGTATTCTGCGACTGTCTCGTTGATGTACCATTTCGAAATGTCCTTGATTTTGGCGGGGATGTTTGAGTCGCCAATGAGCTCCTGGACGCGGGCAAGATATTCTTCTTGCGTGGGTTCCCGGGATAGGTCTTGGTCGGGTTCGGGGAAGAGGATGAACATCCATCTGTTTCGAGTTCATCAGTCATGTCTCCCTGGGACCTTCTCAGGTGCATATTCAGTAAGATCCAACTCACTCAGTCCAAGGCTTGACCATTCGTACAAGAGCCATCTGATAGAAAAGATCAGCAAGGTCATCTACCGCCTTAAAAACTGCCCATGACATACTTTACCAAAGGCCGGATAGTCCGTCTCGGGGTCCATGACCCAGTGCAAGTTCCCCGTCCGAGTCTCCATCAAATGGCTCAGATCTGCTTCCACCAGCACATTGATGGCAATTCCCTGCTGCGGCTTCTTGATCAAAGGAATACCGAGCTGGCGGATGATGACACTGCGTCCCCCATCACAGCCAAAAAGGTACTTTGTGCGAATCTTGCGAGTCTCGCTCGAAATCGAATCCTTGACCTCGCAAACATACCTCTGGCCCTCTTGAACAAAGGATACCAGGGCCGTGTTGAACTGGCAGGGAAACCCGTGATCATGGGCGTACTTGACCAATATGGGTTCGAGAATGGTCTGGGGGACATCCAAATGGTCGCAAGGACTGGCCGCGTCGTAATCGCCCTGGTCAATCTCACTTAGATATACCGCTCTGGGATGGCCTTATAGTCAAGGGGATATAGACAGAATACCAACCTTGCGCTTCGGGTCATGGCCCCAGGAATGAATCCGCGCATACTCCTCACCAGCCATGGAACGGCACCATCTCGTATGCTCCATGCAACCATGCTTCGACCCAACCTTCGTCACCTCCCCTTCCAGCCCGATATCCCGCAGACATTCTTGATTCCGATTAGTCAGCTGAAGAGGGACAAGGTATTGTAGAAGTGGACGACTTGCCCAACGCAGCCATGTTAGTGATGTGCGCACGCGGCGTCTGCGAGGTCCCGGGCGCAGCTGCAATCATGACACCCGCAAGTCCTGTACGTAGATATTATTAGCTGCGACCTGGCCCGACACAGCCGCCAGCATTTCGAGACGTTGCAGCAAGTGGCTTACCATGGTAGCCCAGGAAACAGGCTAGTGCACCGCCTGCAGGCCCTGCACCCACTATCAGATAATCCGTTTCCTGCATTGTTGCCTGTATCACGCTCGTCGTATGGCTAATCGCAAGAGTCCAAGTTGGTTTGCTGATGCAGGTGGGAAACCTGGGGGAGCTGACGAGCGCTGTTTCTATTCATTGTCAACTGCCGGCTGCTACGCTAGGCCGCTCATCGGAGCGATTACATGGCGTGAAGACGACCAGTCACCCAACTATTCGGCTACCGGTACACTTACAAATTGCTGACTGTTACTTCGTCGAGGGGAGACTTGGGATCTACCGTACCGGAACGCTTTCCGAAAGCCCAGCGCATGGACACAACTTCAGACCGACCTATACGACGACATGCCCTAGTTGTCTACATACTAGTTGATCAGTGGTGAGTCGAGTTATCCAACGTTGAAGACGAACCGCTCTCAAGTCTCGAGGACATGGATAGCTTCATCTCAGAGGCCAAAATCAAAATCAATACCCTCAGACTCGAGTCACTCGACACAAAAACAACCCCACCCATGCCTATCCCCACAGCCCATTCACAGCCATCAACAAACTTGTTCACTGTCCAGCTCTCGAACCTTTCCGCTAAGCTACTAGAAATGCCCAACCGATACCTAGCTAAGCCCCGCCATGCTTCGAATTCAGCGCCACCGCTCTACGCCTTAGACATGAATAACCAAGCGCCCACCAAGCATTCCCACTAGAAAAGCTCACGAAGCCTACACCAGCAAAAGTGCACAAACTGTTGTACTGACCGCTACCTAAGCCCGAGCACGTGCGGCAAGCATGAACGTAGTCGTGTATCGTAGCTGTACCAAATGGATCGCGGAGGTAGGGCGCTGTGGTGATATCATCAATTGCCAGAGGGTATATTGTCCCTCTGTTGGATCGTAGATATTTCGATGGGAACTCAAGTAGATGTAGGTGGCTACTTGATTGGTACAAGGTTTTACTGTACGGTAGGTAAGACATTGCCAACGCTCTCTGCGCTTTTGCAGTGTTGACTCGTACCGGTCCTACATAGCCATCTCGCGCCGGAACAGATGGTCTTAGTACGAAGTGAGGAGTTTCGATATAAGTGATGGGAAGTGGGAAGGTCACATATATAAGGGCGAACAAGCAATGAGAGGTGTTTGCAAGTGCAGGGTGCAGGGACTAGTTAGCTGCAAGAGTAAGTTGAAGGGAGATTCTACTCCGCTCTTCGGCAATCACGTAGATGAGCAGGCAAGTGCTGCAGGAAATGTAGGATAATCGTATCCATTTCTTTGAATGTAGCTTTGTGAGCATGACACCGTGCCACGCTGAAGTTTCCCATAGCTACCGTAGTGTCATAATGAAATCCCGTGTCATGAACTCTCCGTGCCATGAAATCCCGTGCCATAATCTTCCATGTCATAAATCTTGTGTCATAAATCCCGTGCAATAAACTCCCGTACCATAGATCCCATGTCATAACCGAGCGTACCAGTTATTTCTTCGTGCAAGGGCTGTTCTGCAATTGGCTCTTGTAAAGGAGAAGTCAGCCCAGCAGATGATAGCTAGCCCATTATTCGAATGTGATCTGAAGTGGAGTAGTCCGAGCTCCAAAACTCGCCTTGATGACCTTGGCTACGTCTTTCATGGATACCTTGTCCTCCTCTTGACGGTGACCGACGATTACCACATGGTTGAGACCGCGCAGAGATGACAGATCTGCAAAGGCCAACTCGAGCATCTCGATCTTCGACAGGTCTTGACGTGGGAGATCGACCGAGTGGCACTTGTCAGCTGCAAGCGAAAGTCGGAGCGTGACAAGAAGATTGCGCTGCATCGGAATCATGCGGCCAATGGTCTTGCCCATTTCCTTGAACTTGATGGTGAATTCGTTGAGCTTGAAGTGTAGGTGCTGGGTCTCTGCGTGCACCTGGCGACTGGCTGCGAGGAGACCAGTGAACCTGCCCGGGTGCTTGTCGGCCATGAACTTCCAGCTCAAGGCCCTGGACGAACATTCTTCGCACGAATCGTCGGTGCACTTCAGATGGTCTTCCTGGGCAACGGCGCCAGCGATCACGAGATGGTAGATTATGTTGCGGATCTCGCCAGGCAACACGCGAAAGAATGGGGACACCTGCTGATTGCGTACAGTGCTATATTCAGCGTCAGTCTTTGCTAGATTTTGTCGTCGACTGCACAACTCACATGGCATCGCATCTCTTCTGAAGCTGGGCGCTCATTTGACGCCTCGCCGCAAGCTTCGTCTTCAAACCCTGGATGTCAATGTCAGTCATTTTTTCAGCTTTTGGTAAGCTGTGTCTGTGTCTGCAAGTCGTGTCTGTGTCTGCAAGCTGTGTGGAGGAGAAGAAGTTGAAAGGTTTCGACTGAGAAAAGTTTTAAATAGTGAGGGTAGTGGTGAAGTCATTACTAGCGTGGTCCCTCCGGCAGGTGCCCCGCTCAGTGAAGTGAATGTTATCAAGATCTTCACATCCTCAGCGCCCATAGAACCTTCCAGCCTGCATGTAAACGACCATAACACTTCTTGTTTTGTACGTCACATCCAATCGGTGGCTCGTTGAATGATCTTCACGGTGAAGACTCCAAAAGAGCCTGTGGCACCAACACAACGAAGATCTCAATATGGACATCGGCTTCATGACTGTGAGTGAGCATCAGGGCCCATTCCTGTTTTTCCTGACGTAGCTAGTCAAAGGAGACCTCAATCTCTTGGTTTCTAGCGCACTCTTTGATAATATGTGTTACAGCAATCTTCTCCATGTCCTTGTCGGCAGCAGAGAACAATCTCAGCCAATCTTCTACTATAACACGCTCTCGGTCATTTCCCTCGATTACGTTGCCACGTAGGGCGAATTCCTAAATCATAGTCCGAAGCTCGCCTGGCCTGATTTCGAGTCAGTGATAGCAGTACGCAAATCATGCTTAGATACTACACACAGCGGAAGAAGCAGCGGGTGGTGCTAGTTGAGCAGAGTTCTGGGATTATCATTAACTTTCGAATACTGCTTGTGGCTGAGCAGTTGTGCACACATATCGTCAAGTCCTTCTCGACTTGGCGTGCTCATTTCCGTCTGGTTTGCCATCGCTTCCGCTGTTGATTGCGACGTGTGGCGAAGATCAAGTGTTATTTGACACTTTCTGAAGTAGTTCCAAGTACAGCCGAGGCCTTGCTTTCGATGAAGAGAAGATTGTGTGCTACAAATGAAGAGGATGTGGATGCTAGGAAGAAAAGATGAAGCGGAGGATAAAGATGCTGGTGGTCAACGCATGGAGAAAGGCAGGAGCTCTTCGGCCGGGTCACAATATCTCATTAGGCCCCAAGCTCCTGCCGTGGTGAAGACAGACATAACTCGATTACAATTCTTACTTGGTTATCACTTCTTTCGCTACCGCCGCACAAAGCTCCACACGCACCCCCGCGCTCGATAAAACATGTATCCAGAGTCTCTGTGTATCGCTCAAACGGTCATTTTCGCTCTTCACTTCCGCAAACTTCACTTGACCCTTCAGTCCATCTTCTTTTGCGACTTTCCACAAGAACAGATCTGGCACGCCACCGCCTCGTTGGCCATACTCTTGTGCCATGACTTTGCAAACGGTAGCTAAGGCCTCGCCGTCAAAGCAATGCGCAATCTCAATCAAATCGACAACATCATATGTCCAATCGAGACCTACAACACACGTTCGGCGCTCATGGTGGTCGCCATAGACTCGCTGTATAATGGCTGGCGCATCCCCGTTTGAGATCTCATTCAGACGTGCATTAATCTCCGAGATGCGTGAGGGATAGAAGGCGTCCGTGTGTAGATCTAATGGGCATGTCTGGTATGGTGTCTGGAAGACATTGGGAACGTACGTGAACATTACATCAAAGAACAAGTACGCAAAGAGTGTTCGCACAATACCGCCCTCGCTGTGGAAGCCTTTCCAACCTTGGTTGCGATAATGTGAGAGACACATGGCTTCGACCGAGCATTCTCCGTCTTCGCGAGGATCGATCCATATCGTTTTGCCGCCTCGTCGGCTTCCTCCAGGATGTGGGGAGCTAGTTCGGCGCGGCAATGAGGGGATTTTACGTTCGATGCGTGTTCCTTCAAACGCAACTTCGGCAGGCCTGGTGAGACGAACATGAGTAAAGTCGTGTTGCAACCGTTTTGGGATATTGATCGACTTCTCAAGCTTTGTGATGCGTTTTTGCAAATCGTAATGGTGTATGATGTGTACCAGGTTATCTTGAAGGCCGTCTTCGCAGGTTCGCAAGGCAATGTTCTTCCAGTGCTTCTTCTGTTGCTCCTCGTTCCGCTTCTCGGCATCATTGAGAGCAGCCATATAGTGCTCTTCTAACAAGGCTTTGCGCTGGTACCAGGCTCCCCTTCGCGAGTGGTGAAATAATCGCTGCTGCAACAACTCTGTAAGCAATCCATGCTCAAGCTTATGCTCCTTTCGGCGCCTGAGTATTTCGAGGGCTTTGTGAATGATGCGTGTATAAACCCAGGCTGGTGACAAGCGGCGAAGATAGGACCCTTCACCGCTATGGTAGATGCTGTCTTCTTTGCGCTGTTCTACACGTACAAGCGCTTGCCACCTAGGATATACAGCCTCAAATATGTCAATCACTTCCTGATATCCCTTCTCTGTCGGACGTCCATTGAACTCCAGGATGTTGTCTACCCGAAATTGTGTCCGTACTGCGGCCTCGTACTCGAGCAACAACGAGCGAGAAGCAAATATGTTTACAGAGCGTGAGACGATGTATTCTGGAAAGTTCCAGCGGGCAATTTTTGCAAGAATGATGGCCGTAAGCGACTTCTCCGTCCATTCAGTGGAGCGATAAAATACCAAATGCACGCGCTCAAACAGCTTCAGTGTTGCAATAGAAAGCCGTATGCAAGGACCCGTCTCGCTCATAATCTTGCGTGTGAAATGTGCATCACGATTGGAGTCATCAGATGGCTCATCGACTGGCGGCGTTTCGATTTCGGGCGTTTCTGGCCTTGATCCTGCGTTGGAAGACCGTCTGGACATCTCAGAGTCTGACCGTTTCAGTCCAACGTAGCCGCCCAGACCAGCTTGCTTCTGGCTTGTCCGTCGCAGCGCTCTCAGCAGTTCACTCTTATTCTTCCCTTGAACTTTTGCGTCTTTCGCAAACGCTTTGAGCTCATCAAGCTTCAGTAGCGACGAGGCTTCTTCCAATGTGTTGATTTCATCTTCAGATCGGTCCGCAAAAGTGAACGAAGTGCCTAATATAGTACCTGCGGGTGCTTCGAGCTCGCCAGGATGGGTCTGGACTTTGGAGGAGGGTGCAGGCAAGCTGTATGTACGCTGTAGAGTTTCAACAGCTGCATCGAGATCTGCAATATCGCTGTGGTACCCGAGATTCTTTATACGATGCCAGGCAGACGTCTTGCGGAGGAACAACCGCACATATAAGTATTGAGCCTCGTAACCTAATTGTCTCCATATTCTGAACAGTTCAGTTTCAGCCTCATCGAACAGATGGCTCTCCTCGTTGAGCACCGTATCTAATGCTAGATTGAATGCATCAACATATAGAGAGCTCTTCCCTCGGATCCAAGACCTCTTTTCGATGCGATCGCCAGTCTCCTCTACCTTGTCCTCTTGCGACGCTTTGAAAGCCTCGTACTCTTCGACTGCCTCGTCCCCAGTCTTGACGGGTGGCAACGCACTCTCCAAGTCCGTCTTATGTTCCTTCTCCTCTGTCTTCACCACTACATGATCGTCATCGTCTGCATCTGAATCGGCGATCTCGCGCTTGATCGACCGCCGGGGTGTAGGCGGTGGTTTTCTGGGGTTATCACCAGTCTTCTGGCGCTTGGCTGGTCTATCTTCCTCATCGTAAAAGTTTGTGGATTTTGGATGCTTTATGAATCGTGAAAGTAGATCCATCTGATTGTGCTTGGAAGGTCTCTGAGGGTTGAGTACCATTGTGGTTGAAACATGAGTGCTCGAATGGGTTGGTCCTTTGATGATGCAATGGTGCATTCAGGTTGGGGATGGACGCGATCGCGGCTAGGATCGCGGTGTCACGGGATTCGGGAGCTAGCGGGGCTCTTGTGGTGGTCAGTGCTTACGGGATGGGGCCGCAACAATCTACTTACTATGGTACTTCAACGTCGTTATCACAGTACCGGTAGATCACAATTTTGTCTTGGCGCAGATATTACTCAGTAGGGGTGATGTTCTAACAAGATTGGCTAGGTCTAGCTAGTGAAAAGTTACATCATCTACACACTACCTGTCCGCTTGAGTACAATGTACATGACACTTCTCAGCTCAGTTTCCTGATTACGTAAAACAGTGAAGGACAGGTTCTCACTTACATGTAATGATGCGAAAGCGGAGGAAAGTATGGCGGCACTATTTGACCCTATGGCAAAAGCATTATGAGTGGCTCGCAGCCTTCAACATTTGTACGAGACTTTCCTAATCAAGGCAGCATAGTTTCAAACCAACATGTCACAAACTAACGGCGGCAGCACGAGTTGAAAACTTCATGCATGCTTGCTTGGTTTTTTCTGCTACCGTCGATGATTATAAATACAGCTTACTTGGTTTACTTGAAGTTGCTGTGTACGACAGAGGCGCAAAGGGGGAAACTTTGTGACTTCAGAATTTGCTTATTTTCACTCCAAACTTCCAACGTATACAAAGATCAACAGTCCTACACACTCGCCTAACGCAGCAGATGAACTATAACACATGTGGAACGTAAAGTTATACAGCTTAGTCGCGAATACTTGGTTAATAATGGCAAACATCAGCCTTCTAAGCCTGCCTATTTGAACAACCAATGTCAATGGGAACAACCTTTTAGAACTCAATTTGACTCCCTCCAACTACAGGATATACTATACAGGCTCTAAAAGTCTCTACTAAATCCTAACGTAATTGATGTCCATCCCGCCACAATAACGCATCTGCCCCATGTCCTCCCTACAATCAAACCCGCCTTGCAAACTCAGCAGAAAAGTGGACGGACAAATCACGTGATACCCCAAAAGATCAGACGAGGCAATTCAGCAACCCCAAAACCCAATTTCCAACGACTTCTCGGCCACATTTTCGTACTGCTTTCCACACCCCCAAAACTTGCCTAATGCGGTAATTTTGAGACGGGATGGAAGATCAGACGAAGCAATTATTTAAAAAAAATCCTGGCCTTGAGAAGGGCCAGAGAAGTCAAGGTTTTTTGAGCTGCCATGTTCGACAGGTTTTCTAAAAGTTGCCTAATGCGGTAATTTGAAGATGGGATGAAGCAATTATTTGAATTACAGATACTGGTCACGTGACGCAAAAAGATCAGACGAAGCAATTCAAGGCAATAAAAATCTCAAACTTGCAAGGACTTCTCGAGCAACTTTTTTACTATCATCCACATCCTAAAATCTTTCCTAATGCGGTAATTTGGAGATGGGATGGAAGATGGGATGAAGCAATTAATTGTAAAATTTCGAGCTCTGGGGAAGGGCTCGAGAAGTGGAGGTTTTCCAAATTGCTACATTCGATGGTGTCTGGAAAATTGCCTAATGCGGTAATTTGGAGATGGGATGACGAAATTCTGGAATGGTGAGATTTTGGGGTTGGCGGTTGACGCTGCGATGAGCGGATGAGGATTTGACTGCGACTATGCAACGCCTTCACTGAATAGACATATTAAACACTTTTATAGCTACAGTAATATTACGTTTCATGTCATTGCCGTCTCTCATCATGTGCGTCTGGTCCCTCAATCTTGGCCACCTGTGCCTTCCTCGTCTCCAACCCCGAGTCATCGTACTCACCTCTTTGTATTTCAGTCTTCATGTCTACTTGTACGCCCATGGCAGTCGTTCCCTTCCAACTACTCAGCACTTCGTTTCCAGCCTTCCCATCGCTATCCTGACTCGGTCTCTGCGCCGAGCTTGTGAATGGATTCTGACCTTGGAGGCGGTGTGGCATGTCGGTTGAGTGGTTGGACTGCGCGACTGATTTGGCGTGTGCGACACCCAGCTCGACTTCATCTTCTTCAACGTTTTTAGATGGCCGGGTACGGCTGCGTGAAGCTTTGGTTAGTTTGCCGTACTGGGAGCCGTAGCCGTAGTGGGGTGTGCGTGGTGTTGCGCCGGTGACGAAGGAGTTTGTGTGCTCGCGCAGGAAGCGAATGTGTTCGCGTAGGAGGGGCCAGATGCCAGGAAGGTTGGCTACATACACTGCTACTGAGGCTTCGCGAACGTACCATAGCATGTATCTTGTGCTGTAGACTTTGGATAGGTTGTATACTTTTGTGAGGACTGCGGCCAGAATCTGAAGAGAGTCAGCTGATGATGGTGAAGAAGACGATGATTATACATACAACGAAGGCGCCCATGCCGAACAAGACGCCCAGCCCCAACTTCTGCTTGATTGGAAGAGATAGTGATGCTACCATGGGAATAGGTATGGCGATGATTAACAGATCGCTGCTGATATTGAAGACTGCTTGTACGACTGCATAGTACTAAGCAGCTTATACATTAGTCAATGCTCAGTAATAATTGAGCTCAGATGCGCATACCTGTAAGGTTGCACATTGTGGATCTGGTGGTGGCATTTCCCAATAACCAGTAAATGGTCGACAAGTTGTAAAGAAAGCGATCTGGACCCCGAAGTAGCCAGCGATGGCCCAAATTCCTGCAATCCGTATCCATTTAGTATGCCCTGTACCTGTCGTCATACGAGCCAGCATAAACAGCATGCAGCTCTTGAGGATCCAGATGACGTTCAACATGCACTGCTCTTGGTCAGTAATAGTATAAGCTCATTGATAGGCTCACCACATACCTGCTCCGAAACGACCACAATCTTGGATCCCTTGATTCTTTCGTCAATATCTTCCTGGGAAAACGTTTCGAATTGCTCTGGTGGGAACAGATTACTTCCACCTCCGCTGACGATGACGTTTAAGCTCACAACCAGTCCAGTGTAGAATAAAGGAACAGCTGTCAACATTATCCAATCGTCTACAGCAAGCCGTGAAATACTCCTGACTCTGCGCCATCGTGCGTACCTGTGTCATTCATATTAGACTGTGCTCGTGAGCATTGTTTTCGTCATCACCTACGTTCTAAGTAATACTGTAAAGATTGCAATTCCGTACATCGTCCAGGAATGGTGTGCTAGACTCTGTTGGAACGCCTGATCGAACCCTCCTGATCCCATAGCTGCTGATTGGATATGTGTAGACAATATGGAAGTTTCGCGGGAAAGAAGATGACTGGAACCTGGAGGAGAGACCGCAACCCGGGGATGCAGATCAAGGGCCGATTGAAGTAGTCAAGTGATTCAGCATACTCTGCTTGTAGAAGAGAATTTAGAGTGTGAAAAAGGGTATCTTAGTGCCCAAACTTTGCGCGACGGGGTAATCCACATGGAAGTAGAGGGAGCGGTCGATCGGATATGCTGATCTTCTCACGACAGACATGGGGAAGCGGTTACACCCACCTTCCAGATCAATGCTGACTATCATCAAGATTCAGTCTACTCCAACGGTACACCTCCTGAAGACTTCCCACATGGCAACGAACGTGCAGCCTGGCGACCCTTGCACAGTTTGCGTTTCCACTTGGGAACCCCCTCTTGCTGCGGACGAGGCGCATACAGTAGCTTCGCTGAACAATAGCACCGAGGCCGCTCTTTGCAAGATGGATGATCTGATCGATGTAACAGGAACATGGTATCAAGATGACGGACTGTGATTCGGTGAGCCTATCAGTGGCGCAGAATGTCTATGTTTAGCCAAGACGCTTGTACCGTACCTTGATAACATGCTGTATGCTCGGAGGCGGCGGCCAGCACAATGGTCTCGCAAACACGAGACAAGGAGACTGCTCCCCTGGCGAGCGACACCTGCCATGAACCTGCCATCTACTATACGCTTGACAGGAAACATGTCAGTGCTTAGCCATATCCAGGTTTCGTACATACGGGTGCTGCGCGTGCAGAGTACCCGGTACAGGTCGGTTTCGTTCGCCGATACCGAGCATTATCTGAACTCTTTTGCGTTGACCAGCCACCTGTACCTAACGAAATAAGGCCGTAATGAAGGCGGAGAGATAAGGAAGAGCCAGGGTCAACCATCCCAAACCCGTTCCTGGGCGTTGGGGACGGCACCTCACAGCCGAACGAACTACTGTGTTCCTATGGTGGGAACACGGCTCCCGATGCAGGGCAGCTGGTTTGGGGCTGTGCTTCCACCAACGTATGTGCTTGCAGCAGTCTCTCGAGTGTTCAATTCAGCGAAGTAATAACGATGCTGCTTCAGAAGTCCCTGGCTCTTAGCACAATGCAGCGGAATTTTTACGATCTTCTCTCAACATCTCATCTAGGTATTCAACATGACGCAGCGGAGTATTACGGTAATCATAGAATAGATTGACAGAAGCAGCGGGGTCCGTACACATGGCGACACTATCGCCGCTGCTGGGCGCCATGACACCGACAACAGGTGATTACAATGAACCATGGCAACGCTGTGAAGCGAAGTGTGAGATCAGACACGTCGCAATGTCAACGCAATGGCACACTGCTGCTTCGCGACCAAGACTCCCCAGAGCCCAAGCCCAGATCTGAGATGCAGATAGAGCCAGGGTAAAAAAAGCAAAGAGATTTAGCTTCCGGGGATCAGAGCCCGGCGGCGGCCCCGGTACCAGTGCGGCGGGATACGGGACCTACCATGACGTTCCCATTGCCAATTTGCCGCAAAGGCCCAGACGATCAGGTACAGGATCGATACATGCCTGCTCTACACTTGAGGCAAGCCGCACACATTGCTCTCCGTGCGCCTTGATTGGTGTAGGTCTGAAGGAAATTCTGATATGTCGTCCGTCGGTAACCTATTTCCGTGACTGATAGATGAGCTTACTTATACGGTACGTGTACGGTACGTGGCAGCGTGTGCAAACAAAAGCAAAGGCTGCTTTAGTCACAACTCCACAGCATGTTAATGCCGCAGCGCGCCCAGGCATAGTGGCTGCGCTAGTTGATGATTGAGTAGTCTAGTATATCTAACAACTGAATGCTGTCCGTTATCTGCGCCATCCATCACATGTCGAGTGCGAAAAAGAGCAATCCCAGCGATTGACAAATGATAGCAAAAGGCCTTCAGGCAGGCTATGTTACCGAGTGAACTCCAGAAAGACGCTGATGTACTCGCTAAGTCAACACGATTCAATGCAGAAATAGAACAAAAAAGAAAAACTACAAAGCCCAGCTACCCTTCCTAACAGCAGTCCCACCCTTACCGAACTCCTCTTCAGACATATTGGGATGCTGTCTTGCCCATTCCTGAATATAGATCCGCAAGGCGCGCCATCGCATGCAGGTCTCTTCTGTGATCTCGCTGTCTTTCAGATTACCATCTTTGCCCAATCGAATGTAGCCTCGAGATTCCGCAAGATGGTCATCCTGCCTCAGCTCATGCACGGGGATTTTGGAAATCTTGGATAATTCCTCGTCAAATGGTCGCGCCATTGATGGATAGCCCAGGGACAGATAGTTGTATACCTGGGTAACAAAATCATCACTAAATTCTTCAGTGATAGTCTGCTCAACCGCGAGCTTCTCATCAATGCTTGAGAAATCAGTCTGAGCAAAGGTTCCATTGTAGGCCGAGGCGGGTGGTGTGGGAGGTAACAAGCTCATCGCAGGGGTTGGACAAGGCGACATTGGATTCGGCTTCTCATGATTTGGCGTAAGTATGCCAGTTGGGCCACGTGGAGACTTGTCGCCGCCGTTGACACAGAACCCTCCCCAAAGTCCGTGCGTGCTTGATGCACGACTGTTGGCTGTGGACCACAACGATGGTGTTGTGCTTGTTTGTCTGCCATTGCCCTGTCCACACCAAAGACTTTCGCCCTTCTCGGACGCTGCTTTGGTTTGTTCTGAGAGATAGCACATGGCAGTTCGCGCAGCATCGCAGCCCTGCGTAGGATCGAATCGCGAAGGCTCTGGTGACTGGCATCGTGGAAACCTAATGTCTTGCCCAAGCATTGGTGGGCGGGCTTCCTTGCGCATGCGCTCCATTTCAGGATCTCTCTTCTCAGCGGCAAGCTTTTTCGACGTTTCGGCGTCAAGAAACCCAGCGGGATTGCCAAAAGGATTGAATGATGGCTTTATGTGTTCTGTCCGCTTTTGACTATGCGAGTCTTTCGGTTTGCCCTTTTCGCTCTCTTGTTGCTCCTGGTATTTTCGCATGGCGTCCAATTCCCAGTTGACTTCGGTAAACGATGATTGATCAGGTGCTTCGACATGTGACGCTGATCCTTCAGTGTCTTCCCTATCTACGAAGTGATCGACATGTTCGTGAGTGTCGCTGTTAACGAACGCAGCCAGGGCCTGTTCTCGCAGTTGTTTTTCGGCTGTTTTGGCAGCCAATTCAAGGAGATAGCCCGAGGATCGATCGTCCACGCTCTCCCGCCTACGTGTTGCTTCCTTGTACATGAATGAGTGGTCTGTTGTCCACGGTGATGTCGTTGGTGATGACGGAGTCGACGCCTCGGATTCGGAAGATTCAATGGGATCTAAGTCCGGTACACGAAACGAATGTTGAGATGAACTGAAGTATGAACGCCGTCTTGCTAGTGGACAGATTTTGTGTTGTATGCCGGACGCTATCTCTAAGAATAGAGGATTTTGCGGCGGGTCAAGTGTTGGGGTGTTATTTGGTGGTGTTGGTGGGATACCCAGTATTCTCGCCTTTCGAGGACTAATGACCTCAGGAGTCGCCTCTGTTTTATCAGAAGGCAGAAGAGTAGGGCCAGTACTACCAGCCTTGCGATATCGTTGAGCCGTCTCAATCAATTGGGGCGTGAACTTCTTGCCCGGTCTCTTCAACACGCTTTTAGGCCGTCGATCTTCACCTGAGCCGGCTACTACCAGCTTGGGCCTCTGTCGTTTCTCGGCAGTGGGTGAGATTTGCTCATCCCAGTCCTTGTTGAACTTTTGTCGACTATTTCGTGTGGAGATCTGGATTGCCTCTGGGTGAAAGCGGCGATTCGTTCTGGTGGTAGTCTCAATAGGCTCTGGAGCAAACTTGCGGCTCGATGTCGTTGTATCCACTTCGGATACACTATTTGTACTTGTAGTCGTCTCAATAGGCTCGGGCGTGCACTTGCGAGTCTTCATCGTAGTATCTTCGACAGTATCGGGCGAGCAGTTACGATTGGTTGATTCGGTAGTCTCAATCAGCTCTGGAGAAAATCGTCTAAAGTCTCTGGGGCTTTCTCCAGATTCCTGCTCAGACCTGTCCTTGGACGACCTGACTGTCGTCTCCAGTGGCTCAACCTTGAACCTTCTCGGGGGGGCTGCGGTTGCCATGTTGATATACTTGAATGCTTGGCAGGTAAGTTGCTGCGGATCCTGACCGACAGCTTGATAACTCTGATGTAGCCGGCGATCTGTATTGCAATTTCATTCGGTCGCCCGGCCAGACTAAGACCAGAGAAGATGTGTAAGTTTGGGATGCGGACGCGCACTCGGGATGCGGGGAAGCACTTCGGGCGATTTCGGATGCATATAATGGAACGCAAGAGTTGTCCTAGAGTTGCTTATGCTTATGCTTCTGGCAGCCGAATATGGACGTAGGCACATGCAAGACTCTGGTCCATAGAGTTCGCAGTGATGTCCCTCCCAAGGTGTAACAACCGGTTGGATGGGATGATAGGTGCTGGCATCCAGAGTGTTCGATTCGGACCGCTCCTAAAGCTCAAGGGTAGGGATCTGAACTTCATAGTTGTCAGTCGCGTGCGCACCCCCCAAGTGAACCTGCCTCCCTCGCCTGCTACTCACCACGCCCCGTCTCTCAGATCCCACACGGCCAAAGGTTTGTCGAATTGCGGAAAGGGTTCGAAGAAGTCCTTATCGGGAAACATGTGAAAGCCGACGAGTGCTGAAATGGCGGGTGATGGTGTGTTAGTGGGATCGCGATGGCTCAAGTGCAGGATGACGTAGCTCGCAGCAGATAGCCTCTGGGGGCCAGAAGCTACCGAGGGTATGCGGCAAGATGTCAGGTGTGAAGGCTGCCAGAGATCCGCCGTGGAAGTCTCTTGTGGGTGTGATGTGTTGCGGTGAGGCTGCTGTGTCGATGGGCGGACACCAGGTTTATGAGCTGTGAGCTGGTGTTTTCTTGTTGAGACTAGGATACGCAGCGATCAGTTCCCGGCCGTGGCACACCTCCCTTTCCAGCACGGAGGTCAAGCGACGAGTCAAGCTAATATTGCTCTGTCAATGCGCGACGATACATTACACGGCTGCTCTGCGCTTTGCCATTGCAAATTGTCGTTTACCGAAATCCAGGGGCAGCGTCTTGATCTGGAGCACATGGTAAAAGCATCGCTATCGCTACCCAGCAAGCCACCAAAGCCCGTTCTCGCGACGCCCCCCGCCATAATGGGACTCCGGTATCCATTACATCTACCCCCAACTTGGTTCGTTAGGCGATGCGCGGCGCCATGGCGGGCCTTCTCGACGTGACTGTGGAGAGACTGGAATTGGGAAGAATTGGGCGATCTGCATTGCCCTTCTCCACGTCTTCCTAGGCCTAGGTATCCACGTGGCTTGGCTGCAACTCTATTGTCCATCCCGTACACTCCCGAACATGATTGTTGTCAGTGAATATCGAGGCCGGCTGAATGGTTGTTAGTATTTGCTTTCCAAAGGGAACACAGTGTGGCGCAATGCGCCGCTCATGAGCCAGCCAAGGGCCCCTCCACATGGAACCGAAAGCATCCTCAATTTACACTTAATCGCTCAACTTGCAGCATCCCACGTGCACTGTAATATGTGTATGTGCACAACTCTGCAGCATGCGAAAGCAAGCTTTTTTTTTATATATGGGCTACTAATCTTGTTATAACATCATCAAAGTTGAGCAGGCAAGAACTTCAAATCGACACTCAGTTTCTCCCGACACATGTCCACACCAGATTCGTCAGTGGCCTATGTACGTTGCAATGCGCCACTTCCACAAATTGCCATCACCAAAAACAAGTCTGAATAAATTCGCACATCCGAGACCGTTAATGTGACCGCCCTATCGGAGCTCGCGCGGGTTCTTTGTTTCAAAACATGATATATTTACCATTGCTATCGAAACATCACGTCACCAAACGCCAGAACGTACATGCTACATGCGAATTCAAAAACCAAGCGGAGAGACGTAGTCGACCAAAAGACTATCGACAATCAGAATACATCCCAAGGGCATCTTACCATCGTGCTGGGAAACAATTCGACGCCGAGACCCAGAGGAAACCACCATCAGGAATCACTATTTCCCATTCTCGGAACAAGGACATCACGATGCCCAACCATATACTCGATGCAAACATCCTCCAAGATGTAAACCCGCAGCGGCCGATCCGGATTGACTAGGTGCGAAAGCGAGTCCCCGCGACAATGTTCATACTGCGCACTGAGCCGCAAAGGCGATTGCAGGAAATAATATTCTAGCGGGAACCGATTCACATGCCTCAACTGATCGTCGGCCCAGACACCAATACCCGGTCCTGGTGTGGCCATGCGAACGCTTCCATGGGCGGACACGCCACGACTCCGGTCACTGCTGGCGCAGGACGCGACGTCCAGGCTGCTGGACCGCCCGAGGCCATGTTCGTCTGAGTGCTCGCTAAGTTCGGTGAAGTGTTGGGCCTCTGATCCTGTATCGAGGACGTGTGCATCGTGGTCTCGTTGGTTTGTCTCCCGTTGTGAGATTCCTTGTGGGCCAATGGATTCGATCAAGGTTGTCTCAGATGCTGCGTCGCTGCCTCCTCCTCCTCCGCCGTCGCCATCGTCCTCAGTGGGCTCCTCGCATCCATAGCCACAGCGAAAGCCGCATAGTTTGAGCTGCGGTGGTCTGGCCCGTGAGAGTGGCCCACGTCTTGCTGGGCTATCGGTCTGGTCCATGTCAAGGCGACGATCCATTGTTGCGATGCACAAAGTCCAAACTGCTTGTGTTTGTTAGCACGGTGCCCAGAGGGACACATGAGATGTACGAAGTGTCTTGACGACTCCAGGAGGGGATCCAATGACCAAAGAGAGCAAGCGTACATGGTATCGTACTGGCAAATGAACTAGACAAAGTACAGCATCAAGCAACGAGGGATTAATCCAAACAGGCCACCAAATGCAGGCACTTTTTAAATATCGCGTCTGGGAACTACTGAGTCAGAGCTATATAGGAATTCTAGTGTTGATTACAAGAGCAGAAAAGAAAGGTAAGAACCAGGCACCGGTTTCGAGGGAGACGAGAGGGCTGCCTTAAATATGGTTATCCTCCACGAAAAAACAACAACAAGGAGGGGGCCATGCATCGTACAAGCCTTTCCCATCATAAGACGGTCACACAGACACCACACATACACACACTCGCCCACCAGTCGCGTGCACAAAACGACTGACAGCCAGACACGTCGTGCAGACTGCCCATACCTACCTTACACCGCACCACGCATGCCTCACTTTCCCTCGCCCTTCCCTTCGCCCAAACTCCCCAGCCAGGCAAGTCTGCATGCACAACTAGTACCTAACCCGGTCACGAGGAGCGGCCTGCCCAAAAGCCCAATTGTAGGTAAAGCAGATACTCTACATACTACTCGTCGTCTCCCGTACTCTAGAAACGGAGTATTTCCCCGCTTTTTCATACCCCCGTACCGGTAACCCTTCCTGCGCAAGGCCGGAACACGTACTTGGAATTCACTCTTGTCCTGATCTCGTCACCGGTGTAGCGAGGTGCGTCTCGTGATTGGTCAATGCAAAGGTGGACGGCTCTTGAGGTTGATTCCTCCTATTTTCCTTTCCATGACTTTTCAAAAGTTGGCTGACTACCGGTACCGATACCTACCCGTGCATAGCCGCGATTTAGGGCCCTCCAATACCCCCCGATATGCGGCGCGCAGAGTCCCATAAAAACTGTGTTGCAGATTGAAGGACGGGCTCGAATCCGGAGGTTTGTTTGACGTTGGTGCCTGAAGGATACCATTTTCCGAATTAGTCGGCGTGCATGGAGAGGGCAGGTAAGTCCATGTGCGGGACTTTATTGCGCCAGGTAGACGGCGTGTGGACAGGGTTCCGATTTGAAGGCGCTTTTGTACATGATTTCATGGATGTGCAGTAGAACGCTTCATTATTATTGCGCGTTATATATGACGTTTTTGCGTGTGGTTCTACGACAGTCTCGGTGTAGAAGATGTTCATATTGATATATTGCCATCTATGTCACCGTTTGTTCTTGTCAGAATCTCCCGATAGGCCATCCTCGTCCAATGCCAGAAGATGCGCGTTGAAAAGCAGAATACAACTCCCAAAACATGCAACACCCCTAAGTCGTACAGATGGGTCTATTTCCAAAACCGTTGAAGATGCGGGCCAACCCGTGTCGATCGATCGATTCATTTATTATGCCAGAGTAATGTCCTCAACGAATCCCATTCGTCCGATTGCACATAACTGTAGCACGGTTAGCATCTCTTCTTGATCCTACAACACAAATGAGGAATACCCACATATAGCTCATGCTACTCCTCAAACTACTCTGCACACTCTCGGGATGCCACCTGAAAATGTACATGACCATGGCCCAACTCAGGCTAGCAAATACCGGCCACCCATTCTTCGCCATTGTCCTCCTCAGATCCCCATTACCAAACAACTCCCAGCCTCCGGCCTGACCCTTGACTGCACCATGTGCGCCGGCTCCACCAACGGGGCGCGGTTGTACAGCGAGTTTGGCTAACGCGAGACACACACGTGCAGCGACGTATATGACAATCTGTTGGGAAACAGAGTTGTGGATCGTACGTCCGAAGACGGTGTAACCGCCGAGGAGACCGGCGAGGAAGGCGTCGTAGTGGCGTTCTTTGCCTGTGGGAGAGGTGTGGCGTAGGAAGAGCATGGCTGATTTGTAAACGAAGGCGAAGAGGCCAAGATTGCGGGCGTGTTGCCGGGTGGCTTTGTAGACAAGTGTGGCTTTTGATCGGAGGCTGTGGGGGGGGGGGCTTTGTTAGTAGCTGTTGGAATAGGGATCGAGTTTGACAACATAGCCTGTATGTGGAGGGCGGAGCAATGTAGCGTATATTGGTGCAGTGCTGGCGGGGGTGGAAGGATACATACGTTCCTGAGCGAAAGAGGAATATCATACTATCCACTCGAATTAGCAACGAGCTCCTCGACCGTATAACAGCTGTGATATTGTCTTACACAAGCGCATGCGGAAACCGCACTTTACTCCCATATACAATGCCATTCCGCACACCTTTCACCAGTGTCAGAATGTCATGATACTTGGGATCTAGTACAATCTTCTCAAGCGCAGCCTATATGGTATCAGTACTTTGTTCACACTTGTCCCGCTCCATCAAGTACCTCTATCGCATGTAACCGGTCCATCAGGGCAATGTGTGGTGTATGTGTGTTGTTTGCGCGCAAGCTTCAAACGTGCCTCGGTACGCGCGACGGCTACGACGTTTTTGCCTTTACCTTGGACTGTACTGCCTCGCTGACTTCGGGTGTGCGCGGCAAGTGAGAAATGAGTAATAGCACTGGATAGGTATCATGAGGCTGGAACGAGATCAGATAGAGAGCGACTCTTCGGTACAGGCGATGCGATTGCAGAGTCGCAATGGATTGGCATTTGATCCTCGGCTCGCGTCACATTACTCTCCGGCTAACTGACTGCTTCCCCACACGGCAAGATCCCGCGCTAGTGCTTGCAATCTGACAGGGGCTGCGCACTTTGCATGTGAACAAGGCTTGTGGTTGATTTGACATGTGCTCATCATGACGATTGGCTTGGTAGCAAAACACGATGAATGTACAGGTCAATGCGGAATTGTACTATGATTACTGAATCTGTACTATGTAGTATGCGTTTACGCGCTATCAAACTCCAAGATATGCTGCATGTATGTACTGTGGAAAATATGAACACTCTACTCCCCTCGTCGATCTGACCAACGCTTCTTCAATTCCTCATATACAGTGAAGATGAACGCTGAGCTGGGTATCGACCGAGCAACCGTAATGCCGCATCCGCGATACATGCCCTTGATCCCGTGTTGCTTCCATAGCGCTTTCCCTACTGAACTGAAGGACAATTTGCCGCCTGTCAATTGCTTGACATCTTCCGTCTGCATCCTTGACTTGACTGTATCAGCCGGATAGAACATGAAGTTGTAGGCTGCACCGGCGGCAGATCCCGAAACCATGCGCTGCCATACAGCAAGATCCTCATCGCTCTCTATCGAGCCATCCCTCCGCTTGAAAATCATCTTCATGCCTTCGTAGCCACCGAACCATGCCGCACCACCTCCCGTCTCGCGGATGAAAGTTCCAAGTTGGCCATGCCAATAGCCCGCAAGACCTTGGTGGCGATAGATGGACGCGATCACGCCTGGAATAGTAGGTGCAGTGATAATACCACCAGGCTTTTCAAGTGGGACCTGCATCTTGCACTTGACAAGTTCGATTGGGGTGAGGAAAATGGAGGTGATAGCTCCAGCGGCCATTCCGCAATAGAGCATGCCAACATAGGGGAGATCTCGTTCCGGATGCTTCTTCAATTCGGGGTAGAAGCCTGACGACTTGAGCGCATCACCAGCTAGGCGGTACTATGGTTGGTCAGTCTGACGAAATTTCAATGTAGGTCCTTGGTGCACTCACACTGAAGAATAGCGAACTAGTCTCGACCGCAGCGCCGACCAGAGGAGCACTGATGCCTCTGTATATGCCGAAGAAGCCGTCTCTTTGTAGAGACTTCTTGAAGCAGTCCAGTGGCCCAGTGTACCGTAGCGGCATGTTGTCTGGCTGTGACTGCAGGCGAACCTTGACAGTGTCGAAGGGGTACTCGATGTACTTTCCAATCACTCCGGCGACTGATCCGCACACTACATCTTTTAAAGCCTCCTCGCCCTGACCGCTAGTGTGCTCTGCAGCCATATTCTTGACATCTCCTACGATGCTTGGGTGTGATAGCCCGCTTCTTCCCCCCACCACCGGTACCGGACCCTTGTGCGCTTCCATTCTTTCACTGATGTGTGAGGCTCGTGTACAGATAGATATGTGTAGTTGACGACAGTGCTATGTTACGAAGCAGTACGCATGGTAACTATGCGAAGAGTCGAGCGGCCGGTGAAGGGGCGCGTGGCTGGCTGTTATGAAGCAGGACCCATGAGGATGGGTGGAGCGACGACAACAGGTGATGGAGTGGGTGGCCAAGGACTCGTGGGGTGGGAGAGGGGGAGGCGAGGTATGACAGAGAGGAGAGAAACAGCGTAGTGGGCCGCGGGGGGGGGGGGGGTGCGACTTTTGGCGGAATGGATGAATGCACAAACACGGGTTTGGTGCCCAATGTGATGCAAATGGAGACGAAAAATTTCTCTTAGCCTCAGAGGTTACGTCGACCCTTGTGGACGGTACCGGGAACGAGGCGTGGTCAAGATTCGGAAGCGTCGGCGCTTACTATTGAAGGACCATGCTGTGAAGGAGTTGTGTTACATGCTTGGAGTTGAAAAGAAAAAGGCGCCCCTCTTTGTGAATCCTTGATGGGTGAGTCCAGGGATTTGCCATCTCGTAATCTTATCAGATCGGATGCTTGCTTCAGGTACTCCTTCCGGTACGCCTGGCCGTGTCACACTTCCAAGCTTACTCTACTTGTACAAGTACATGGGCCAGTTTTCGGTCCGACCCCACCCTCTTCCTTTCCCTTCCCCCCGATATCGATAAGTCATCGGCCAAACTTATTTTCTTTTGGCAGCCAGGCCAGAGGTCGAGAAACGCCAACAGCATCGCGTCGGGACCAGCGCGCCCCCAGCAACATGTCTGAATCAGCAATCACAGAAGCATCCCCTGCGCAGGAAACGGCGCCAGTGAAGGGCATGAAGAAAAACGGTACGCGCCATTTGTCAACGCTCCCGCGGACGCGCACATCCTGACCTTGTGCAACAGGCAAGCAATGGCACGGCAACAAGTCTGCCTTCCGACCGCGTACAAACCAGACTTCCTGGGAGAAGCGGACGGCTGAGAGGGCGGCACTGGCGGCTGTAAAGGCCAAGGAGAAGGAGCTGAAGGAAGAGAAGGAGTCTGAGCGACAGGTGGCTATCCCCATCCCTCTCTGGTGGATCAATGCTGACTAGGTGCCAGCGACGAGTCGATGCGATCAAGACAAAGCGCGCCGCAAAGGCAGAGCGGGAGCGATTTGCGCTCATGGAGGAGAAGATGCACAAGAAGCGCGTCGATCGTTTGAAGAGGAGAGAAAAGCGCAACAAGATGCTCAAGTCGTGAAAACTCTTCGCATGATACCCAAATCTAATCTTGTCTCTTCGCGCAACAGGCCAACCAGAAGATTACCGGTACTGCTTTGCCAAGATTCGCGCATGGAGTCTTAACTCGCGCTTCAAAGTCATGCTCGGGAGGGGAGGGGAGGGGAGTAATCCATGGAACATTGAAGATGACGGGCTCTATGACCCGCGAGCGTTCTTTGACCGAATTCATGGCGACTACAATCGAGATGCAAAGCAAGAAAACTACTGCATCGAGCTGAAAGCCGAATTACGTTTGCTTGTCAAGCCTAGAGAAGCTGGCAATCTAACGCCTACCTGATTCAAATGTCCGGCTGCCATTGTACTATGATGCATGTAGCGTGCCAATTTATTTGATGACAGTCGTGTGCCTGTATTGCGAAGACGCGAGTGAAAATGAGAGTTGTCTACAAGGTGGGTGCTCTGCTTTCATGCGACCAGCGTACGTGCTGCACCTACTTTATGAACCCCTTTATTGGGGCTAGCGTCAGTAGTGACGACACTTTGCAGACCCTGGGACAACCACAACTACAACCTTCACCCCGATGAGATGGAAGGCCAACTGCACCTCCATACAGGTCTTGGCGACTACAAGGCCTTCCGTCCAAACCTACACGGCACCAAGTTGGCAACACGCGTGACATCAGACCCGGAGAAGAGACCGCATCTTCACAAGCGCAAGTCGCACCATCACCACCACCGCGACCGCGAGGACCGCGAGGACCGCCACCGTCACAGCTCTAGCAAGCGGAAGGCCGCTAAGGAAGCTGTTCAGTCTGCTATACAGCCCCCAACTAGCTTTGGGGACTTGCTCCGGCAGGCACGAGGCAGCAAAGAATCCAGTCCAAGCCACAGTCGCAAAGGCAGTGTTGCACCTGGTCAGGACCGGAAGAGAAACTCCAAGGATGACGGGGATGACCGTTCTTTGGTTCTGCCCAAGAAGCGGCTTCGGCCGGAAGAGGTGGAAAAAGAGGGGCTAAAAGTCCAAGCTAGAGAACGGTACGGCGTGGGAGTCTCAATAATTTTCGAGATTGTACACTCTGTTCCAAGCACTGACATGGCATACAGAGACCTCCGAGCCGCATTACAGTCACTCTCAGATCAATCTTTGAAGACATCTCGCCGCCTCGACGATACATACTATGCCATTCTCGAAAAAGTTTCGGTGCTCCGCCAGACCATCGGAACCTTACAAGAGCTCTCTGGTTTGACCAAAGAACTGCAAATCAACTTCGAGTCTGACACGAAAGAGCTTGTCCAACATGTCTCGGGGCAAGTAGAAGCGTTTGACGACTTCCAGCCATCGCAACAACAAGTCAGCGCATTGGAAGAACGTATCAAGGCTGGAAAGCAAAAGGCAGATAGCCTGACGGCGAGGCTTGCACGTGCAAAGGAGCGAGTGGATGCAAGAGCCAAGTCAGAAGCCCAGTGGCAGGCTACTAGCACACGTATGTATAGCAGTTGCAATGAAGAACGAGCGCTAACAGGTGATAGATCGACGGCGTATCTTTTGGGGCATATTGGGCGCTATCATGGCGGCTATCATCGCTCTCATGTTCTTCCACCAGCTCAATCCTGCCCATGGTACCGATCACCCGCAGCCGACTCCAGACTTCGCTTCTCGGTCCGCCATTTTGGATGCGCCCATTCCCGACATCGCGAAGGATGCCATCATTGGACCTCCCCCTAAGCCATCAAATCCGGTTTCCGAGGCGTCAACGCAGGAGTCATCATTAGAGGAGGATGAGAGGTTGCGCATATTTGACGAGCTTTGACACCGTTTTACTTTGCTTTTAGTTGTATGATACCCTTTTCTTTCGACGCATTCCACTGTTGGCCATAGATCAATTGATTCTCGTGCTTTGTCACTTTATTGCATGTTTGTCTGGGTCCATCTGGCCTAGGAGCTAGAAACAAGTATTATATGGCAGATGCTACGGTTCATATACGTTCAGTGCCTCGACACATTTGGAGACTTGCCTGGACTTGCTTGAATAGCGACACCGGGCCCTTTTGGGACATGGAATTACAACCACTATTGACCAAACATCGTGACCGTGATCACCCCTTGATGTAGCTTTTTCTTATACTGCATTACTATCATTTTGCATCAATATCTACATCCTCTCCTGTGCCCCAGGACAACAGTTGTAGCCATCATCGGCTTGTAAATTGTATCTTGTCGCACTGATTCAAAGGCATCTCGGGACCGAGAGGGAAGTCCTCGCCGAGTAGGTATAAAACGCATGCGGGGAGATGTGGATGTTGGTTATATGGAGGACTTGCGATAGTACTCTGGTTGGGATTTTCTTTGGAGGAGGGGATTTCAGAGTCTGATTCGGCGTTTACGGAGACTGCTCAAATACGCATTCAGACGTATGTGAAATGGCACAGCTGTAAAAGAGGACCAAGTGTCCCTCACTCAAAAGGCTTTCTGTATTCACATATACTTGTGCAACATCCCCGGGCATCTTCTCCTCAACGCCAAATTTTTTTGGCAAACAAATTCTCACACACCACCCTATTGTTTCTCAGGATACGCCAAATTCTCTTCACACTCTGCGGTTCCAAAGCCTCCCCAGCCCTGGAATTCATCTGCAAACCTAAGGGCGGCATGGAGCCAGTAGTTTGATTCCTTGCCAGGCGTCTCCCACGTCTCTTCTGCAACCTTCATTGCGCGCAATGCTTTTGCGGGTTTGTCAGTTTTGCTGGCTTTGCCATTCGGATCCAGGATAGGGGAGCTGGAGACATACCTTTGACGTAATGCGCATCTTTAGCCCATGGCCCGTCGAGCGCCTTGTGGACGACGTACTTCCAGCCCTTGGTCTCACGGTCGCACGCCTCAGCCGCTTCAGCCGTGCTAATCTCCGGCCTCATCTGTGCAATATACACTGCGAGCGCAAACAGCCACCACTGTCTCAACAGACTGACGTGGAACTTGGCCGGCACTAGTGGCAGTAAGATGCGAATCGCATGGCTACTCGTCAGCACGTGGACAAAGAAGAAATCAAACTTCGTGTCCTCTGGCACTTCCGTTCCGATCACAAAGGCGACGGCGGTTTGCTGTGCAGCGTGGAATTGCGTATTTGGATCGACGATTTCCCATGCGTTCCAGTATTCGAGGAAGGCTTCTTCGCGTTGCTCAAACACTTTGTTGATGTCGCCGCTGCGGTGGTCGTACAAACCATCGAAGCGCTTGTCATCCTTGACTTTGTGCAGTAGTTCGATGAGGTTTGTTGCTCCTCCAGGAGTGCCGTGCGGGCTGGGCTTTGTGTATTTGGGGTCGTCAATATATTTGTGGAGGGGGCTGTAGAAACATGCACCGAGAGCTAGGGCTTCGATGGCCACGGTCTTCGATTGGAGTTCGTATGCGTAGCCGAGATGTATGAGTGGATGCGCCACTGTCGCCATGTCAGCCATGTCACGAATGGTCCAACCATGTCAGGTTCATACTTACGTCCGGAAATCAGCGTATTGATCAACGGCTCCTTACCACCAAGCAAGAACTGGTCCAACAGAGCCGAGAGATTATACTTGCGATTAACAAGCTGATCCTCGAAAAAATCAATGAATGCGCGTTGATATCTGTCTCCTCCATTAGCACGCGTTACCCTCATCCACTGCCACCCCCTTCCAAGCTCGACCAACTTACTCACGCCTCCCCAAATATTCCCTCCAATCCGCCGTCGTAATCTCCCCCGGTGCATCACTCCATGGTTCTAACCCTTCAGCCTCCTTCTCATAGATTTCATTCAACTGCTCTGCCGTTGCTCCAAGTAGATACGCCGATCCCAGGATCTAATATGCAAAGCCTTAGCAGCTTAACTACAACAGAACAGCAGGCTTTGCGAATTCAAGCCAGGGTAGAGCATACATGGGGTGTATGATTGTGAAAACGCAGGTTGTGGTAGATGATGGAGTAGTTTGCATGGTTGGCCTTGAGCAGGTGTTTGAGCGTGCGTGGGCGCTTCTCCGCGGACGTTTCGATGTCGTGGATTTCAACCGAGGGAATCGTTACGGTGGCATGAGTACCTGTGGGTCGCAGGAAAGAGGGCAGTGAAATTCGTGGAAGACTAAACATGGTAGGTTTATGTCGGTGTTGGGAAGTTCGAGTCTTTGAGGTGCTATTGCGGGGAAGACGTTTGGTCGCGTCGCGCCTCGGCCGTCTCGCTGAGGTATGACGTGACATTCGGCCGAACCCAAGACTCGCAACGGATGCATGGTGAAGATCGATAATCTGGCCAACATTTAAGGATGGAACCCCAGATAGACATATGGGCGAGACAGGGGGCCTTCATAGATGGCGACATGCAGCCTTGACATAGAAGTTTAGTTATCGCCAAGTAGAGCGCACTGGACAACTTGAATGCTACACAACTTTGCAATCTCAATTATAGGCGATCGTACGTGATACCCAATAACGATAGACTATCACCATCACCCTATATCAACATTCCCAGGCCATGTCCAATCTACATATCGAATGATGGCATCAAACTTAGTATTCACCCTCCTCCACCTCCTCGTCGTCCAGCGAGTCAGCAGCGACCTCTTGATGATTGTTAGCTTGCTAATAGCACAATGGTTTCCAATGCTTACCAGAATAGTCTTTTTCCAAGGCAGCAAGATCCTCACGGGCCTCGGAGAATTCTCCTTCTTCCATTCCCTCACCCACATACCAGTGTACAAAAGCGCGCTTGGAGTACATGAGATCGAACTTGTGGTCAAGACGAGACCAGGCTTCGGCGATGGCAGTGGTGTTGCTGAGCATGGAAACGCTTCGGTCGACACCGGCGAGTTCGCTTCCAGGGACGCTGATGGGCCTGGTGAGGTTAGCAAAGGGGAAACCAGACAGTGCAATGGGGACATACTTGGTGTAGTTGATGCCAAGCTTGAAACCGGTAGGGCACCATTCGACCAAGTTGAAGGACGATTTCGCTTTGAGGGCGGCAGCGGCAGCAGTGCAATCACGGGGGACAATGTCACCACGGTATAGCAAAGCTACCGCCATGTACTTGCCGTTGCGCGGGTCGCAGACGACCATCTGGTTGTTAGGCTCAAAGCCTACAAGTTTGTTAGCAACAATCCCAGGCAAATTGGCATGAATGACGCACATTGGAAGGTAAGGTCGCTGACTTTGTGGCTTTCGTGAGAGCTCTTCTTGGCCGAGATGACAGGTGCATAGCTGATGAGCGGGTAATGGATACGTGGGTAAGGCACCAGGTTAGTCTGGAACTCGTTCAAGTCGACATTGAGAGCACCATCAAAGCGCAGACTGGATGTGATGGAGCTGACAACTTGCGCAATCAAGCGGTTGAGATGCTCGTAGTTGGGACGAGGGATGTCCAGATTGCGACGGCAGATGTCATACACAGCCTCGTTGTCGACAAGGAATGTGCAGTCCGAGTTCTCGATAGTGCTGTGGGTAGAGAGAACAGCGTTGTAGGGTTCGACGACGGAGGTCGAAACTTGTGGTGCTGGGTACACTGCAAACTCAAGCTTACACTTCTTGCCGTAGTCGGTCGAAAGACGCTCGAGGATGAGCGCACCGAAGCCAGATCCTGTGCCACCACCAAAAGAGTGGAAGATCAGGAAACCTTGGAGTGAGGAGCAGTTGTCTATGGGAGTTAGCAGAGCGCCCTGAGAAGCTGCGCGCATTCAGCTTACCGGCGACGCGACGAATCCTGTCAATCACGCTGTCGACCATTTCCTTGCCAATTGTGTAGTGGCCACGGGCATCTGCATTCGTTAGTACCTTGTCAATGGTAATAGGCTTCTAGGACACACAGTTGTTGGCTGCATCCTCCTTGCCGCTAATCAACAGCTCAGGGTGGAAGAGCTGGCGATAAGCACCGGTTCGGATCTCGTCAATTGGCTGTGTCAATCAGCATTTATCCTTGTAGAATTCGCGTTCCCACCACATACTGAAGGGTCCAAGTCGACGAAGATGGAGCGAGGGACGTATTTGCCACTGCCCGTTTCAGTGAAGAAGGTCTCGAAAGACCCCCCTTCGTTGAGGTCCTTCGCATCGGGGTTGGGACGACCGTCAGGCAAGAGACCATGCTCAAGCAAGTACCTGGGGCATTCGTGTTAGTTTTGGGTTGTAATCGCAAGTGACACGGTTCAAAGGCTTACAGCTCCCAGGCACTGTTACCAAGCTGCGTGCCAGCTTGGCCGATATGAAGGTGGCAGATCTGTAGAACTTCATGTTAGCGGAAGATACGCAATTGTTTCCATATGCGGTCTGCTCCGCGCGCCGTTGGGCTCGAATAGGCCTTGATATCTCTCAGAAAGAGGATTGTCTAGCTGCGAGCACCAGGTTGCTTCCCATCTCGTCGGCGCCGCAAGCGGTGAGGGGGGGAGGGGGCAGCATTCAGGGTCTGATTTGGTGATGTGCTCTCGAAACGCAATGGGGTCCAGCACGGGAATTCTACATACCTCTCCTCGCATGGTGAATTGCTTTTGCTGTATCAAACAGACTGACAGAAAGGTGTCACGAACCTGGCAAAGGCTGTTGGATTAGGAGAGCTTTCTCACCATGAATTCAGGAACAGGAACAGCAAGAGCGGTGACCGTTTCGGACTAGTTTGGTGGGGTCGTCTTCGGCAGGCGCCTTGTGTTTACGCGACTTGTCTAGCGCGTCTTTCCACTTGACAGGCTCGACAGGCGGCTCAGCGTGTGGTGGCATGTCATATGACCATGGGTTTAGCGTCGGGCGACTTGGGCTTTACTCTAAGTGGTTAGAATATCCCTGTAGGTTCAAGTCCACGTCACAGCGGCAAATTTTTATAGTTATATAAACTAGCCTATAGTTAAGTATAAATTAGGGTAATTTAAGCAAGTAAATATAGTTTTTATTACTATCTTTTTTAAACGTGTTCTAAACCTATTCTTAATAATATATAGGTGTTCCTAAATACTATACTAGAGTTTAGTATAGTAGTACTAAATAATATATCTAAACTAGATAGTAATATTAGAGATAAATTTAGGTAACTATATAAAGTACTAGAGGAGGATAGTAGTAGTAGTATTAAGGAAGTAAGTAAAAGTAAATAGAATAAGTTTAGAATAGGTTAGTAATATATTATAGGGGTATAATATATACCTTACTTATAGTAATAGTTAAGGACTACTACTTATACTAGTAATTATTAAGTATATAGCTATTCTCCTAGTATACCCTTAATTATATAGCTAAGGGTATAGGTATATAATACTAGTTTAGTAATATAAAGATAGCTCTTACCTAATAAGAGAAGAGGTGCTTATATAGGCTACACAGGTAACATGTTAAGAACATGTTCTAAACACGTTTTAATCTACTTATATAGGATATAAGGGATATATTAGTAACAGGTATAGTAGTAGTAGCTTATAGTATTACTAGTATAGAATATATTTAGAATAGGTTTAGAACGCGTTGCAAAATCTTATAGCATAATATTTAGTTAACCTTGCTTAGCTAGCTAGTGGAGCTTGGCACGGCCTAACCCCATGCCAAATACGAGTTCACGCAGCGCTAATTCCATGGTCATATGAACTGCGCCCTCGCTCAGCGTTGTAGTGCCGAACGAATGTGTCTGTTCATCACAGGCTCGGTCTCATCCCATCGCTTCTCATCACAACGTCTGTCATCTATATATATATATATATATCTCTCTTATATACCATGGCATTAATGTATACAAGGCGCAGGCCAAGGCGTACATCCTGCAATGTGTGAACATCAAATCGGCCCAACGCAACGCAACGCAACGCAATACCCACTCCCAGGCACTGCAGCATCAAGAATACAGATCGTCGTCCTGCGTGGCATCGCCAAACCCGCCCTCTGCTATATCAACACTGCTTTTGCCTGCATGACTGGCAGTAGCCGGCACCGTGCCCTTTCCTTTACCGCTGCTACCACTACCGTTGACCGTTCCGTCCAGCTCCATGTTCTGTGTACGAATAACCATGTCTTCTTCTGGCGCCGCTGCCACGGCTTTACCCTTGCCCTTTCCGGCCCATGATGGCTGTACAGCTGCTTGGACCTTCTTCTTGTCCTCTTCCTTCTTGCCTGCGCCTTCAAATGACTTGCGCACTCTATCATAGTGTCGCAGCTCATCAGCGCTAACGCTGGGTACGAGCTCCTTGTGAGCCTCGATAAAATCTTCTTCAGTGACCATGACTGCTGTGTCTTCATCTGTGGCTAAGTGGTCGAAAAAATACGCAATGGTGATTTTGGGGGTATGTGATGCGTTGTACGCTCTGACCTTGTCGTCTACTGCGCGCGCTTGCCGCGTGATGGCTTTGAGCATCGCGTCTGAACACAGAGCGTACATGTCTGCACCGGTATAAGTAAACGGTAGGCCTTGGGACACTCTCTGTAGAGATAGTTCCGGATGTAAGGTGAATCTAAAGCCAATTAGCAAAGCCTACAACACATGTGACGGCTCAACTTACTTTCTGGTCAAAGCTTCCAGTATGGTCTGCTGCTTCTCGTGCGTATCGGATACACCCAGGTACAGCATCTTATCAAATCGACCAGGACGCAGCAATGCTTGATCAAGCAAATCTGGTCTGTTGGTTGCGCCGATGACGAATACACCCTCACCGCCATCACTCATACCATCAAGTTCAGCCAGCAGCTGACTGACGATACGATCCATCACGCCTCCACTATCACCTTGATTACCACGCTTAGGGGCGACCGAGTCCAATTCATCAAAGAAGACAACGCAAGGACGCGCATCGCGAGCACGTTGGAAGACTCGGCGAACGTTCGCTTCAGACTCACCAATGTACATGTTGAGCAGCTCGGGTCCTTTGACACTGAAGAAATTGAGCGAGAACTCTGTGGCGATGGCTTTCGCAAGTAGCGTCTTTCCGGTACCTGGGGGCCCATAGAAGAGGATACCACTGCGCTTCTTCATGCCCTTTGCGAAAAGCTCAGGACGCGAGAGTGGTAACTGTATAGTCTCCATGACTGCATCCTTGACATGAGTGAGACCACCGACATCCGACCAACCAACGTTCGGAATCTTTGGTGCTCCAATTGCATCAGCAAAGTTTTTGCGGGCTGCATCCACGGCGCCATCAAAGTCGGCTTTGGTCAGACTGTTGCTAAAAGGTCCACCGGCAATTTCAATGTCTCTTGTCGTGACTTTCTCTGACGAGGGTGAGGCCTTACTTGCAGATGTGGCCAAGGCTTCCAGACGATTTTGCTTTGCAACAAGAGCTCGGTCAACCACGTCGACGAGATCACCAGCAACCAAAGCTGCAGTCTTCACGGCAACGTTACCAAGATCAGCGTCGGGAGAAAGCCTGATACCAGTGTCTTCGATGATACTTCGCAGAATCCCCTCTCTTTCGCCTTCGTCGGGCGCAGTCATTTCGATCTCGTGCGTAAAAAGACCTCGGATACCTTCAGGTACCTTGTCAATTTCAGTCGTTGTTGCAATCAAGACACGGAAATCGGCCAAGATTTCTTTGAGGGCAGTGTTCATGCGGTCAGCATTGAGAGCGTCGACATGTTTTACCAGCAGTGCGGTGTACTCTGCACCGCAAGTTAGGGCACGTTCTGCTCTTGCTTTGAGAAACCCTTCAGTCTTGACGTCGCCACCTCCTGCACCTCCTTCAGTCACAATATCAAAGGCATCGATAGCAAAGGTATGTAACCCGAGATCTTCGCAGGCTTTTGTGGCAAGTGTAGCCTTGCCGATTCCGCGTTGTGTAGACGTGATCAGGACCGCAATGGGAGGAAGCCCAAGATGTATGGCGCGGGGGCTAGTCGCCACCGACATGAGTTCTCGCAGACGCCTACGAAGTCCAGAGATGTGAGGCTTTGGAAGCTCATCTAATGTCATTGTCCTCTGTTGACTCGACACTGGGGCACGTTTGGCCCCAAGGTAATACTGCCAGGCGCTGTTGATCGGTGGCGTCCTACCCTGCACACTTCCGGTCATCTCCATTTTTGTGCTGCTGGCATCTACCGTCACTGCGCCGCCCCAGACATCGCCTTCCTCGCTGTCACGGGGAGACTGAGATGAACTTGAGACATTGCCGATTTTGAACCACGACACGACCTTGGGGTTACGGCTGTTGACATTCGCGCTGGTCTCTGTAGATCCCTTCTTAGCAACCGATAGTAGCTCATCGTTAGCTGCATCCTCCTCCGTGGAACTCTGGAAGACCGCACGACCCAAGGACTCATCTACTGAGACACCAATAAGATCTCCCGCCTTTACAATACGTCTTTTTTGTTCAAAGTGTTCTTTCAGTGCGGCAAACAAGCTAGGCTGTAAGAGTCGGTCTGATGATAAAGGAGTCGACAGCTTCAACAGTGTAACTTCCTTGGCCGAAGGTGGAAGCGACGAGCTTGTCAGCCGGGGTTTCTGAAGAGCACTCCGGGGCAAATGGGATGATTGGTGTGGAGCTAGTGGGGTAATTCGAAGATGGCTTGGGCTACCAAGATTTGCCAGTAGTACAGGCGAGAGGTAAGCTTGCAATGATGTGCTAGCTTGCGGAAAGCCTGAGAAGCTACTTCGTCTGTCCATGTCTGAATTCTTGTTGACTGGGTATCTGGCAATCTTCTTGGACATGGTTTCTGGCAAGCCATAGACTCTCATAGGCCGCCAGTTGGAGCTATCGTCTTCCTCAATCCCAGAAAACAGGCCAAAGAGAGGATGTGAAGTAGGCTCTTCAGTTGCTTCAACTTTGACCCAGTCACCAGAAAAGCATCCAACTTTGACCAAGGTGTTGATATCAACAAAGACGCGAGCCTCTTCGTCGTCTTCTGCGCCCGGCTTTGGGTGCACCAATTCGTCGGAGATGGATTGTAGGAGTCCCTGTGCTTTGAATATCTTACTCTTGCTCGTAGGACCCCGAGCGGTGGTGGCGGTAAAGCTAGAAAATACGGAACCTGGGGTGGCGATACCGTTGGTGCGGTAATTACCAGGTCTTGGAGTAGCAGATGTGAATGATGACAAGACGCCAGATGACTGTGGCGGAAGCATTGGTGCGTTGAGAGAAATGATATCTTCCGAGTCGTCTGATAGGTCTCCGTCCAAGTCGGAGATTTCAGAATCAAGGTTGTCTGTGGACTCTTCATCTGGTGGAGAGGCATTGCGAGAGTCGCCTCGATCTTCGGCAGCCGAGTAGAACGTATCATTGGAGGTATCGTCGGCGTCATCATCATCTACGAAGCCGTTCGTCGATGGCGTTACTTTGACCGGTGGTAGCACGTGAGAGGTCTTGTGGCTACGATGCGACTGGAGAACAACGATGCTCGTGGATGGCAGTATCAAACCCTGGGAGACGGGTTCGCAAGCGCTCACTTTGGCGGGTGGAGGTGGAACATGGGTGATTGGGTGGGCGGGCAGTGGTAGAGGTAGTAGGTCTCCAGTATGAAGAACGGTGGGTAGTTGCAAGGCTTCTCGAACAGCCTTCCTCCACGTCTCCTCTTGCGCTGCTTGATCCACCCTAGCCGATTTCCCTTTGGTTCCATTCACGTCAGGATGTCGGCCCTTGGGTCCCCTCGCCGCGGCATTGGAGTGCGCAATGAAGCCTCCACCAAACTTGGCATGCACCTCGTCCAGCTTCCGCAGCGCTTCCGTATCCAGATTCACGTAAACGGTATCTAGAGCCACGGGCACAACATCGTATATGCGCACCTCGATTGGGGTATCGCGTCTCTGCGTCCTGTTCGGTGCGAGGCTGTGGAGAATTTGCGAGAAGGACTGCAACGCAAGTGAAGAAGCGGGAATTTGGAGAGAAGAGTGTGGTCGGACAGCCGAGGTGTCACTCTTGTCGGCAGATCGCACTGGGAGAATAGTCCACGGAACGCTTTGGGAGGCGACGATGGTATTCGGAAGCCACGGCGTGATTGCGACGTGACGGATAGGATCTGAGGCTTGCGAGTTGCTGTTTGCTGCTGCAATGTTCAGTCATGCGTGATTCCTATGATCATTCTCTCTCTCCCTCTCTCTCTCTTCCAGATTTACCTACCAGTACTTTCCGAACTTGGGAATAAGTCGTTGAAGAGATCCTCGGACAAGATTCCAACCTCACCCTTTATGCGGTCGTCAAGCAAGAGTCGCGCCGAAATCGCAGGTCGGTCGAGGCGTCTCCTCCGTCGCCTTTTGCGGGGGTGGACAAGGCCATTGTGCGCTTCCATATCTACCATGGTGTATGCGGGTGGAGGTGGAGGTGTGTAGATAGTTTCACTATAAGCAAATCGAGGCTCTACGTCGCGTTCAAGTGCCTCGGTTCTAGGAACGGTAGCGGCTGCGCGACGGGAACCCCTTCTCGGACAACCGACGCTCGAGTTCCCGCGAGTACTCGCGATTCAAGTACGTTTATGTATATTGATCCTACCAACCAATAAAATAAATAACCTGTGCGAGCATTCACGACTGAGTGCTGATGAGCATGTAAATCTATAATCGCCTGGCCTTGCTGCGACAATTCCGCACCGAATGCGGAGACGTCACCTGTAGGTACCCAATGCTCATTGGTTACAACAGAAAACAGCTTGTGCAGCCCATCACCCAGGCAGTCTGGATGGAGAATAAATTCAGACTCTGTTGTCTACAGTCATGCAAAGAGTTGCTCAACTGCCCCGGGAGTAAGAGCTCTTGAAGCTGCAGGCTACCACGGCGGCTGCATTCACATGCCAGTCCAGGTGTCTGTAGTGTGAACCCCAGGCCGCTTCTGCACGCTGACCCTGTTGTACCAGACCCTCATGTTCACCACGCTTCTCCTGCACGAATCACCCGTTGATACCGGGTCATATCTCTTCTTGATGAGAGACGGACAACGTGTGGAGTCGCTGCTGATTTGCTACAATACACGGTACAGTGACCCACATCGCAAGCCCACCGAGTGGTATTCCATGCATCCTGTAGTGACGTCAATTCTGTATCTCTCAATCAAAATGGGTTGCTGGTAAAGTTCAGCCACTTATCCAACGTCAAGTTGTCACAAAATGCTACAGCCTTGTCTCGATGACTTCCTGGAGTTTCCTTCCCTGTTCAGCCCGTCGTCTGCAGTGTGAACTACTGGCCAGCAACCTGGTGTTTTAATACAACCACTACTCCGGCATTCCACATTAATGGAAATGCCCATAAAAGCAGTCGTTCATTCTGAGACATGATGCCTAGGATAGAAACTGCTACTTCGTCAATGACACAACGAAGCACCAACCTCCAAACAGATCAAGGTGGCGACGCAGACGATGAAAAAGTACAAGCTGCAATCCAGTTCGCACAACAAGCTGAGCGGCTTGGACAGTATACAACCACTCAAGAAGATGACCAGACTGGATCAACACAGGCGGTCGAGGCCCACTTCATCACAAGCCAGGATCCAGTAATAGAGACCGCAGATGGTCGTCGACTACCGGCTGTTCCTCTCGAGGAAGCCATCAAGCTGAACCAGCTACGTAATATTGTTAGCGACCACGATGTATCCCAAACAAAGCCCCGAGAGGCACGAATACGAAAGGCCAAAGATGGTACCGTTCATGGTATGCTGATGAACGCAGAGCAGGAAGAGGATAAAGAGGGCCGGTCAGATGTGCCGCTGGGAGACTCGCAAGCACCGTGGAAGACGAATCCATTGTTCCCGCCCCTACCTTTATACGGCCCACCCACGCTGCTGAGAGAAGTCCAATGTTGGGCGTTTCGCATATCTTCGGGCATTCTGTCGTTCTTGTTTCTGCTCGTCATCATCCTCGGGGCTTTATTCACTTCGCTACCTGGCATGGCCGCGCATACATGGCTGCGCATCACCTTTCGCAACCCTGGTACGTGAAACGTGAAACCATTTACATAATCTTATCGTACCAAGATGGCATAGAACGCTGACTCCAGTGCCACTTGTAGACCAACGACGACCCTTCTATGATGAAGAGATAAAACGAAAGAAAGCCAGGAGACTAGAAGAGGAGGCCTGGAATCAGAATCAAGCCCAGAGATCGGAAAAAGACATCGAGGTAGATGAGGGAGACGGGGACGACGAACGATTCGTGCCCTTGGAAGGTGGACCAGATCCGCTAGTCTGCGATGTGCGGTACTATGCACGTCGTGTCGGACTAGACTGTGAGAGCTTCGACGTACAAACAGAAGATGGCTTTATCCTTGAGCTCTGGCATCTCTACAATCCGCGGACATATAGACGCACCGAGACTTCACAGCGAACACCGCATTCTCCTAATGTGTTTGTGGAAACTGGTCCTAATGCTAATGGCTCGCGATCTTCACAAGGAGCTAAGAAATACCCGGTTCTCATGATTCACGGCTTGTTACAATCCGCAGGGGCGTACTGCACGAACGAGGACGACAGTCTAGCATTTTTTCTGGCCAAAAGTGGATATGACGTCTGGCTTGGTAATAATCGCTGCGGTTTCAAGCCACGGCATGTTCTACTCGACTACAGTGATCCAAGAATGTGGGCCTGGAACATTAGGCAGATGGGGGTCATGGATCTTCCAGCACTGATATCACGTGTTCTCTATGAGACCGGCTTCGAAAAGCTAGGTCTGATTGCTCACAGTCAAGGGACCACGCAGACACTAGTTGCTTTGGCCAAAGAGCAGAGACCAGAAATTGGAGAGAAGATTTCGGTCGCCTGTTTACTTGCCCCCGCCGCCTACGCCGGCCGGTTGATTAACAAGGCTCAGTTCAAATTCATGCAAGTCATATCGCCAGGCATGTTCCGCGCTGTGTTTGGAATACACGCCTTCATTCCCTTTATGATGGAGATGCACAAGCTCTTACCTGGTCATTTCTACGGAAACATGGGCTACCGTGTCTTTTCCTTTCTCTTCGACTGGACGGATGAGCGATGGGAACGCGACTTGCGAGATCGCATGTTTCAGTTTGCTCCTGTCTATGTCAGTGCAGAAAGTATGCGATGGTGGCTTGGCCGCGAATGCTTCGCCAAGCAGAAGTGTATCCTCGCTACCAGGGAAGAGAAGACCATGGAGGACAAGGAAGATGAGGAAGAAGATCAAAATGTGACTCGTTCTCCTTCTCCTTCAACCGACTCGGATGACGCAGGCCATACCATGAATGCAGATTTAAGCCTCCACCCGCTCAAAGAAGACAAGCAGGGCGAACAACAAGGGAATAGCGACAATGCCCGATTCGCATGGTACAGGCCACACACTCCACCCTTCGCCTTTTGGGTCTGCGGTGCGGACGATCTTGTCGATGGCCGGCGCCTTTTGCGACGCTTCGAACGTGGGCGCGAACCCCACGTGGATGTGGTGCACTCGAAGATTATTGAGGGTTATGAACATCTGGACGTGATATGGGCAATGGACGCGGTTGAGAAGGTTGGGAAAGAGCTGCGAGAGGTGCTCTGGAAGACGGCCCCCGAAGAGGCTCGTAACATGTGCCGTACGCCAAAGGGCTGCGAGGGCATTGAGGAATATTATGAGAGAGAGAGAGAGAGAGAGAGAGAGAGAGAGAGAGAGAGAGAGAGAGAGAGAGAGAGAGCGTAAGGGAAGAGATTCATGCCACGGCAAGAGATGAGAGGGCGGATGGCAAGCGCAAGCTGGCGGTGAGAGGGTGAGGCGGGAGAGTCAATGTAATTTGGAAGCTGAGATGAAGAATGATGAGTAGGATCTGAGACAGGAGGATTGAGCTTGGCACGTTTATATGAAGTGCTCATTAACATCACGGGCAGCTTTTGAGATTAGCATAGGTACATGCATACAAATATACATGGATACATACGCACACACTTGAGCAATGCAGCTCTCATTCAGCACGTACGTACGGTGTATGTTATAGTAAGGTATAGTAGACTGGAGGCAGATGATGTATTCACAGTACTACACGGTGAACAGTTTGGCGAGCATCCGCGAGATGGGATGGGGCGGGTGGCCAAAGGGAAAATACGAACAAGGCACACAGTAGCCCCACAGCTTCATGGATCGAAGCGGTACCGGTAGCAGGCCCGCCCCGAACACGGCTTCTCGCTCTTGGGCTAGAATCAAGTCTGTCCACCTGTCCACCTGTGCGTGCAAGGGCACAAAGCACGAGGACATGGCTGAGGATCGCGGTGAAGGGAACTGAACATGGACCAACAGGACAGGAAGACGGGGAATTGATGGATGGATTGCTCCACCCATTACTATCTAGAGCGTGTCCAATAGTAGGTAGGTATGTATGAACAAATGGCAAAACACTGGAGCTGATCTGATCGCCCACATCAGCGGGTCCTGTACAGGTACAACACAAGTACACTCCTGCAAAAGGGAGGCCAATCTGGCATCGGTATCGGGTCGCGGTGTGTGGGTGTTGCACAATATGATCGATATCGATGAGAGGCCCCCCCCCCCCGAAGACGACTCAGGCATGCATCGGAAGAGAAGCGGGCTTTGTCAGGTTTGCGTGTGGGATCAGCATACGCAAGCTCCACCCCCACCCTTGAAACTCCTCTGTTCCGCGATAACGGTCGCTTCGCCTAGAGTATGCCGAGCGAGGCGGGCAAAAAGAAACGAAAAAAAAGGGTGAACCTTGGGATGACGTACAGGGCGTAGGTAGTGTACGCGTGCGACACATGGCAAACCTAACATGTTGCTCTACTTTGCGACTCCATCATGGTATAGTAGTAGTAAGCAGCCTTGGCAAGCCCTTTGTGTCCGCGCGAAGCAGTTTGTTGGGGTGTTGGGGTGTTGGGGTGTTGGGGTGTTGGAGTGTTTCTTAGGGTTGGGCCGAAAATAGGACACGTTGGCGCTCTTTTCAACAAACTTCCTTTACATTAAGTTACGGTATGTATACTGCTACCATGTACCATGTAGGGAATATGCTGTTCCTGCGTCTTCTTACTGGGGAGGGCGGTGACGTCGTAGGCCGAAGAGACCTCACCGTTTTCTTTCTTTCTCTTTTCTACTGGCAAAGAAAAGAAGCCGGCACCGAGATCATCAGAATCAGGCCGCGTCGGCTTCTTTCTCACGCCCATGCCACCAGTTTTTCTCGCAAGGAGGAGGAGGGGGAAGGGGGCGGGGGAACACAGGTTCTTTTACAGGTTCTTTTGGGGCATGTTGTCGTACTGTACTGTACTGTACTGTAGCCATGGCGGGTCGTGTAGGTACAGTAACCGTACCTGGATATTTGCCAACATCTAGCTAGTAGTGATCGCGAGCAACGGACCCGCCCCTTGTGGTAGGTATCCACCTGGTGTTGAATGTGTGTGTGTGTGTGTGTGTGTGTGTGTGTGTGTGTGCCATCAACGTCAATCACGTCCGACCAGCCCTTTGCACGGCTCCAGTTTTCCTTGGACCCTCACTGGCGACCAGGAGATGGCGCCGATACGCAGAAATGAAGAATCGCTGATCGGGGGTCGCCCGTGTCGCCAAAATGAAAACCAGTCAACCCTGCGGCCTTCGCTGCTTCGGTAGGTAGGAGTAAGTTACTCTACTGTAGGGAGTCGACTCTCTCGGACCCATCTCTGCTCCACCACCTTACCTATACGCGTTGCTTCTCCACACTTCCGCCTCTCTGTCTCGGTGGATCATCTTTCCCATCTTTCCCACTCTTTCTCTCCTTGCCATCTTCCACTCTCACTCTCCTTGCCATCTTCCACTCTCACTCTCCTTGCCATCTTCCACTCTCACTCTCCTTGCCATCTTCCACTCTCACTCTCCATCTCCCATTTCCATCTTACCCTGCCCATTACTCCTACTCCCTCCCTGTCCATAGTCACTCGTTAGTCGATGAGGAACTTCTTCGAGATTATTCTACGCTAGTGGTTTCACACGCAACAAACGTCATCGCTGTCTGCACCTGTCACAACACACTGTGAACGCGAAATCGATCAATTGACAGCGCAGCGCTCTGCATTTCTCTGCATTCCACCTCACGTAGCCTCAGGGCTACCAAGGCGAAGCCCAAAATGACAACTCCAGTCACCGAGCGGCCAGAGCCAACATACAACATGGACAGCGCCCAACCGCCGCAAAATCCTCGCCAGCGCTCATCGGATGAGGACGGCACAGTGGTGGGAGAAGCTCTGAGCCAACAACACTCAAATACACAAGATCATGCCGCCTACATGCCTGGATATTCCCGGCCACGATCGGGAACCCATCTGACCGTAGAGACTGCACACGACATGCACCACATGAAATCCATGAAATCGCCCTCGCAGACGCGTGAGCAAGCGAGCCGACTCAACGATGACTTGGCCGTACTTGCCATTGAACAGCAGCTCAACGCCGAAGAGGCAATAGAGCGGAATCCATCGCTCAGCCACTCCATGTCACGCGTACGATCCCGTCGCGAGAATCTCATTGATGAATTTGACGCGGCCACCAATCCAATTCACGAGCAGGCGGCGAGGTACAAGGCCCCGGAGAATCCTTCTACTAGCTTCTCAAAGTTTGTCAAAAAGGTCCACGGGTCCTCGTGGCTGATTAGGTACTTTACCTACATCACTCCCCTCGTCATCCTCATCCTCATACCATTGCTTCTCGGCGCATTGGTATTCGAGGATGCGCATGTTGGCGGAGTCGAGCTTACCTGGTTTTCCATTTGGCTGATGATCGTGTGGTTGACATTGTGGGCGGGCAGAGTAAGTGGACTCCGATTTTGTCAAGAAAAGGAACTGACAAAGCACGTTTTAGGTGCTGGCGAAGCTGCTTCCGTGGCCAATTGGTCTTGTTTCAAGTTTGTTTACCAACAACAGCAAAAAGTGGAGAGACATGGGGAAGCAACTCGAACTGCCAGCGACACTATTCTTCTGGTGGCTAGCCATTGAAATCTCCTTCCTTCCCACCGTCACTCGACACTCGATCGACGGCGATAGATCAGTGAAGCCATGGCAGAGGACGATGAACAAGGTGCTGGTCTCATTCCTCGTCGGCTTTTCCCTGAATTTCATTGAGAAAATCATCATTCAGCTCATCGCCATCAGCTTCCATCTCCGGACCTATCAAGATCGAATTGAACTGAACAAGTTTCAAATTGGTAGTCTCGCAAAGCTTTACAGGTTCTCCAAAGAAAAAATTGAAATGGAAGACTCCGAGTTCGAGCAAAGCAGCAACAGTCCGACTGGTGCACGGACACCAGGCCAGCTGGTATCGGAAGCCCAAAAGAATATCAAGTCTGGATTCAATAAATTTGGAGACATTGCCGGAAAGGTCGCCGGAGACTTCGCTGGCCGCCAAGTGACTTCGAACCGTCACCCCCACCAGGTCGTGCTACAGCTCATCGGTACTACCAGTGGCGCTCAAGTTCTCGCACGTCGTCTTTATCGCACTTTTGCTCGTGAAGAGACGGAGACTGTTCATTCCGAGGACCTAAAGAACGCTTTCGAAAGCGACGAGGAGGCAGACGCCGCGTTCTCCATGTTTGACAAGGATATGAATGGGGATATTTCCATGGAAGAGCTGGAAGCAGTCTGTGTCGAGATTGGTCGTGAACGCAAATCCATCACCGCCTCGCTCAAGGATCTCGATAGCGTCGTGTCAAAACTGGACGACGTCTTTGTATTCATTGTGGTCATCATCACAATCATTGTCTTCGTCTCGCTCATCTCAACTTCAGCTTCCGGTGTCCTTGCCTCCGCCGGCTCAACACTCCTGGCTCTGTCCTGGCTATTCTCCGCGACCGCACAAGAATTCCTCCAGTCATGCGTCTTTGTGTTCATCAAGCACCCGTACGATGTCGGCGACCGTGTCCTGGTGTACGGCAATACTGGTGACTTGGGCAAAGGCGACGACTACTTCGTCAAGGAGATCGCCCTATTCTACACCGAGTTCAAGAAGATGCAAGGCCACATTGTTCAGGCACCCAACAGCTACCTGAACACTCTGTTCATTATGAATCACAGGCGTTCTGGTGCCTTGGCTGAGGCTATTCCCATCATCATCAAGTTTGGCACAACACTGGAACAGATTGAACGCCTGCGTGATATGCTCTTGGCTTTTGTCACTGCAGAAAAGCGTGAATACCAAACCAACATTCTCACAGAGCTACGAGCGGTGCAAGAAGTACACTGGCTAGAGTTGAACGTGGTCTTCTTCTACAAGTCTAATTGGCAGAACGAGTTGCTCCGTCTCCAGCGTCGCAACAAATTCATCTGCGCGCTCACCATGGCAATCCAAGAGTGCGGTATTGAAGGACCTCGTATGCGCTACCCCGGCCAGAAGGAGTCCTTCCCCGTCTACATGCAGAATCTTCAGAACCCCCCTACACCTGGGGTGGGTGTCAATGGCACTCCTGACAATCCCAATGGCAACATCAGGAATGAGGCACAAGACGCGCCATTTGTGCCCCCAGTGGACGGAAACACAGACTCTCCTTCTGTAGCCAGCATGCCCGGTCGTCACGGCTCTATACTCCGTCGACCAGGGTCCAATCGCTCTCGCGCCGAGTCACTTGCAGCAATGGGTCGCCGTGTCGACTTCTCACTCGGTATGAAGTCCATGGGTCTAGACGACCCTGGCGGCGATGTCCTGGATGATCGCGAAAACGAAAGCCGCACACGTGCAACCGTCGTCCGCGTTACATCGCCCTCGCGCTCCCAAGACCGTGCTCGCCAATCCGAAGACAGCGCGCACTCTACCTCGATTCAACGCGTTGGCACGAATGCTAGCTCCGTCACCCGCGAACGGGTGCATAAGAACCGCTTCTTCAGCCGCAATCGCGGGAATGACGAGGAGTCTAGTATGGGCATCATCCCAGAAGCTGATACGCCTCCCGGTGGACAGAAACTGGATCCAAGGACTGGCTTGCTCAGCACGAGGGCAGTGACGAGTAGTCATGATGATTCGTCTGTCGCAGCGTCGGGTGCGTTGCCTGAGACGGCGGATTCTGAGAAGGCGTTTGCGAAGCCGTCGAGGAGTCAGACGGATCAGTATGAGATGAGAAGATTTCGCCGTTAGAGTTCCTTGGCAGTGGTGGTGTGGAAAAAGTTTCATTTCTCTGTCATCTGTTGCCTCGTATATTTGGTGCGTAAGAGGCATTTGAAAGGCGCATTTCAGATGCTCGGGCTTCTTTTCTTCCTTTTCGAGAGGCAAATGGATAGATCTGATGGCAGTGCGCCGGGATCTTTGCCATTGCTTAGCGTGGATAATGAGAGAGGGATTAGCAAAATGCAATGTACTGCCCAGCTCGGCAGTGGTAATTTCTTCTATTTTACATTGACGATTTGGCCTTCTTTCTTGCACGTCGATACACTTGGTTGCTCGCTGGCTCTCATGCTACATCAGAATCAACCAAGTCGCCCCAAGGGATAGGACCAATCATATTCTGTAGAATACTTGGAGTCAGTGACAATACATCAATGGGCAAAAGGCCTGTAGTCCTTTTGCATCGGCTGTGTCGCTCGGTGGAATCTTTAGGACATGCTACTATTGCCAATTCCCCGTCTATTTATATAACTTGACATTAGCCTAATCTAACAGATGCTTAGGTGTTTGTGCACATTATTTATGGCACACGTCGCCGTCTGCACTTGTGTTTCCGCCGTAGTCGCGCCAATGTGAGGCGTGCTTATCACGCGTCCCGTGGCCCACAGACGCTCATATCTGCTCAGCGTTGGCGGTTCTTCTTCATGGCAGTCGAGCCCCGCACCAAAGATGTGACCTTGCTCCAAAGCCTCCGTCAGCGCATCCTCGTCGACAATGCCTCCACGCGCAACATTGATGAGGATGGAACCAGCCCGCATGTGGCCCAGTTGGGCCCGGCCGATCATCCCGCGTGTCTCGTCGTTCAGCGGGACATGAACCGTCAACACATCCACATGCGCCAACATTTCTTCCCACGACTTGACCCGGGTGTGCGGGATATCAGCCCAAGCATCGGCCGGCGCAAAGGGATCACAAGCGTATACATGGGCGTTGAAGGCGCCACGGAACATGCGCGCAACAGCAGTACCAATGTTGCCCATCCCTACGATCCCTATCGTCTTGTTGATGAGTGTCTGGCCGCAACAATGCTCCTTGCGAACCTCGGCGCCCGACGCCTGCTTGACGGATATGGTACGAAGCTCGCGTGCAACCCCCATGGTGAGACTGAGGACGAGCTCTGCCACGGACTGTGCGTTGACACCGGGAGTGTTCAAGATGGGGATCCCGCGCTTCTTGCAGGCTGCTTGGTCTATGATGTCGATGCCGGTGCCTTGCTTGCCAATGGCCCGTAGTCTCTGCGCGCCCTGGATGTCGGCAGCGGATATCGTCTTCTCTCGCACAAGAATGGCATCTGCCTTTTGCTGCCAACTGGCGATCTCGGGGTCTTCAGGGAGCACCGTCCTGAACAGGCTCTGACAGTGTCGAATGGCTTCTGAGGGAAATTGTTCGAGAAGGTACATGGTAGGCTTCAAAGGCTGGACTGCCTCGACATGCTCGTCCTGAAATGGTTCAATACGTGAGGGCGCCATGTTGATTGTTGTGTGTGGCTTTGGTCTGGTTCAATCGTATGTATAGAAGAGGGAGAGGGGAGTCTGTGTCAAGTGGCACTGTAAGAGAGAGTTCTCTGATCTGAGGGTTGTCATCTGGATTTACATTATTCATATATCTAACTCTACCACAGGCTCTGTTCCGGGTACAACTAGTCGGCTTTCACTGCCTGGCGTTCTTGACGGCAACGACGTCCGAGGGCAACTAAGCGCAAAGTCGCGCCCCAAGCTGGCTAGACTCCACAATCCACTGTGATCAACCGATCACGGCTTCGACATCCGACGTCTACCGAGAAAATTCCCCGCAAGTTGTTCCCCATGGGGCGACCCCGGCCATCGTCTTCGCGCATGTTTTACGACCCAGCAAAAGAAGGATGTCAAAGATTTAAGAGCACAGGATGCCTTGCAAAAGTTTTCCATCACCTCCTGATTTGTGCATCTCCCCTACCTCTCTTCTTCTGTAATCAATCCTCGCCACAATGTCTGATATCGCAAAGCAGCAGGATCATATGATTGAGATTGCCAGCGAGAAAGACTCGAATGAGCTTGTGGTCTCATATCACATTGAGCCTGAAGATGAGAGGGCAGTCCTAAAGAAGCTGGATCGTGTCATCCTACCGCTGATGGCTCTGGTCTACTTCTTCCAATGTAAGTAGGGCGTTACAACGTGACTCCCGGTCTCCAGCTGACCCCCTCTCCTAGATCTCGATAAGCAAAGTATCAACTATGCTGCCGTCTTCGGACTCCAGGAGGATCTGAAGCTCTCGGGCTCAGAATTCTCTTGGGCCATCTCCCTGTTCTACTTTGGACAGTTTGTGTCCGAGTACCCGGCTGCCTACCTTATGAGCAGATTCCCAATCACCATCTTCGTCGGAATCACAGTGTAAGTCCTTGCTTTTCCCAAGCTGCCCGAAGACGAAAGCTAATCATGCCACAGCGTGCTTTGGGGAATTGCTGAGATGTGCCTCGGAGCAACAACCAACTGGACCACAATCGCAGTAGCGTGATTCTTCCTCGGTTTCACCGAAGGTGCTGTAGCGCCATCGTTCATGATCATCACATCCGGATGGTACAAGCGCAGCGAACACCCAGTCAGAATTGCGTGAGTATCCAGCTACTTCACATTACACATGGCAACCTACTAATCAACCATAGCACATGGGTCTCCATGTTCGGCATCTCGCAAATCGTCGGTGGCACAATGATGTACGGCATCGGCAACGCCAATCTGAGTCTTGCAGCGTGGCGAGTCCTCTTCCTGATCTGTGGTGGCTTGACCGTCGGCTGCGGTACTCTCTTCATCGCCTTTATGCCCCGCAACACAAACACGGCCTGGTTCCTGAATGAGAGGGAGCGCAAGATTGCCACTGAGCGTCTGGCCGTCGATCGTGCCACCCGTGACAAGGCCTCGTTCGACACCGCCCAGCTCAAGGAAGCGTTTCTCGACTGGCGCACGGCCCTCTACGCAGCAATGGCTCTCTTCATTACCCTGCCCACTCCCATTGTCAAGTTCTCGTCCCTCGTCATCAAAGGCTTTGGCTTCAGCTCGTTCCAGACTATGCTGGTCGGCCTGCCTTCGGGCGGTGTCTCCTTCGTCCTCGTCTGGATCGGCGCGCTGGTCCCCGCTTTCGTCCCCAACTCCCGATGCGCAATCGGCATCTTCCTCGCCTCAATGCCACTCATGGGCACCCTGATGCTGCTCTTCCTCCCCGCCAGCAACAGCTGGGGCATCGTCGTCGGCACCTGGTTCGCCGGCTCCACGGCGCCCCCGCTCAGCATCGCCGTCGGCCTCATGGCATCCAACGTCAAGGGCAACACCAAGAAATCCGTCGTCAGCGCCATCTTCTTCGTCTTCTACACCATCGGCTGCATCGTCGGTCCCCAGCTTTGGCAAAAACCAGATGCCCCGCGTTATGTCAAGGGCTGCATCACTAGTCTTGTCAGCTGGGTCTGTCTCATGGTCTGCCTCGTCACCTTTTATGTCACGGCCAAGGTTAGCAATCGCAATCGCGAGCGCGAAATGGCCGAGTTGGCGCTTCGTGAGGCCGATGGCGAGCAGATTGGTGTTAGTGTCGATTCTGATGTTACTGAAAAGCATGACAAGTTGTTTCGGTACAGCTACTAGGGATTTTCTCCGCGCAAAGAGTGTGAGGGCTGGCTTCTTGTTGCCCATGCCCCCATCTGTGTAAAGGAAAATCAAACCATTCACGACGTCTATGGCATTTGCAACTAGTTTTATTTTTCTTCGCGAGGGTTTGGGGATAATTGTATATATGTTGGAGGGGGGAAATGCAAGCGAAGAATTTTAACGACTATTTCTGACTTTGCGCTGTTGTTACACACTGACTGGATCAGTGTGCCCTTCGTTGTGACGGACTACCTGTAGAACCTTATTCCTCCCCATTATACTGCGATTTGAGTGAACGCTGTGGTGTGCAGTTTTATGCGCTACAAAGTCTCTTTGGAAAGCAGGATGGGAGACTTGTGAAACATTGGTCGTCTGTGAAAGTTTGGAGGAGCGATAGTGTGGTCTGATGGACGATTATTAGTTTTAAGTATTACCGGTATCTGTGCCATGTAGGTACGGGTTGCTGGGTTAGTAGCGTATTAATGTGTCAAAGGGTGAAATTGGGTTGTTGGGTATAAAACAGCTACGGTAGGTAGGGGGGGTGGAAATAAAAGACGTAATGATTCAGGGCCTTTACTCTACAACTACCATCCACTACCATCTACCACGTATGTATGAAATGCTTAGATGGCATATGCAACAGCAGGATTCTAGCTCCATGCCAACCCGATGTGGTGAAGATGCGCACGGACTACCGTACCGGTATCCAGCGTACGTTGGGTGCACGGCCCGACACAGCAAGTGCATCCATCTCTTTCAGCTGTGACGTCCATAAGCATCTCCTGAATACTCTTACAATATCAGCATCATGTCATCGCCAGAGCCTCCAGCAAAGAGAAGCAGACTTGCGAATGCGTCTGCAACATTAGTGGGAGAAGCTGCCCGGACCTCACAAGCCTGTACAACATGCCGGGAGAAGAAGATCAAATGCTGTGGCAATCAGCCGTGCCGATATTGCGCTAAACGGGGACTGAGCTGCAATTTTTTGGAACAGGGGCCGAAGAAGATGTATTTCGTTGCGTAAGTGTGGAAAACAGCAAGTTGTTGATATGGCTGCCATGCTTATCATCATGTTTAGATATGTCGAGGATCTAGAGAGGAGGGCTTCACTTGTAACGAAGAGTAGTGGGAGTAATCCCGCTCCGCAGCAATATCGAAGCCCTGCCCGTGAGCATGTCGAGGTCACTGCCTCTGATCAGGTCAGTGCTGTAACTCAGGCCACGGCCGCAGATCAGGTTGCTGGCACAGACCAAGATACCGCCGCAATGACAAGCCGTACGTTTCACTGTGCAACTGGAAGAAGTTCAGCTAAAGATGGTGATTAGCTTTTGATTCCCAGCCCGCCATGTCATCCAGCCATGAATTTGGATCCAGAATCAAAAAGTTACCGGCTGATTCGAAATCACCTGTTTTGCTCTACCCGAACATGGTTACGGCCAATAATGCAGACGATGCTTATAAACTCGAGCACGAAGGTTCCACCAGTCAACGGAGTAGAGTATCAGACATCAAGTGGCCAGACGAAGATGAGGCCCACGCTCTTCTTCACACAGTCTCAAGTTCAATTGGAAGTGTTCAGCACCTTATCGACCCGAGAGCTTTCTCAGACAACCTTTCTAGTTTTTACGACAGAGATCAAGATGCAGATCCAATCATTAGTCTTCAACACGTACAGATGCTCATGGTATTTGCACTGGGGATCCTCCTTCAGGGAAAATTACAGGGAGAGTCGTCTTTCCCAGGTGCAGAGTATTTTCTGCACGCCGTTAGTCATCTCCCGTCTTTATGCACCTTGCGTAAAGCGGGCGTATTGGCAATCGAGACCATGGGCCTTTTTGCTTTTTTTCTGCAATGCTCGGATCGCAAGGACGATGCGTACATCTATGTGAGTGAGTCTGTACGTCGTCATTGTATCTCAGCATAACAAGATCTTGTAGGCCGGAGTCGCATTACGGCTAAGCATCATGCATGGTCTCTGCCGGGGCGCAGAAGGGAACGCTCTGAAGCGTTCTGAAAAGACGCATCGAAATCGCTTATGGTGGACAATCTACATGCAAGAAAGGTAACATGGGCTTGCAGGTCTTCACTTCCACACTAACAACCACCAGGCGACTTGCTGCTGCCACTGGAAATCCAGTCGGTGTCCTCGATGAGAACATAACAACGGATCTGCCGGCAGATGCTGCGGGGTTCCCTGCCGTCGCCGCCTTGGATGCCAATGTCAAGCTCGCCAGGATAACCGGGAAAACTCTTCAAAGTGAGCGGTCTTTTTTCCATATCGAGCCTCTCACTAATGCAAGACAGACGTCTATAGTCCGAGTCATCGAACAAGCCGGCAATTCATAGAGGCCATTGAGAGCCTTGTTGAAGAACTCTTCAAGTTGGAGAGGGAGATGGCGCCCGAGTGCAAAGCTGACCTATCAACACCTTTATCGTTGACTAGAACAGGTGCGACGCTGAGTTTGATGTTTTCACAAGTATGTTCGATCATTACCTATTGGAACAAACGCTGCTGATCCATTGCTTGTTGCAGTCTATGATACTTGCCACCAGACCCGTGTTGCTCCACCTTGCCAAAGTAAAGCGTGAGGGCAACAAACTTGGGACCGCGTTTGCTGAAAATTTTGTGTGAAGGCAGGTCGGTTACCCTGA